TCTTCTTCTTCTTCTTTTTTTAAGCATATAATGTATTGTTTGTTTCAGAGGTACAGTATGTTAAATTCATTATGGTTCAGGTATGTTCTGGGAGCTGGACTCATCGGAGATCCTCACAAAGATGGCTTCTGAGGAGTACAAGGATAGGTCGATACAGGAAATATTATCTCCAGGTTAAATGCATTTATGAAGGAAGACTTATGTTCATAGTATTTGTACTGTTGACATAACAGCCTCTAGGAGGGAAACGTGACTATGTAGCAGTGACTTCTTTTGTCTCCGGGCTCAGCAGGGTGGATTTGGCTGTTACAGTTGGCTGGGCAGCTGAACTTTCCTTTGCCTTCCTTGCGGGTCCTTCTTGAAGCAGCGCCTACCTTTCTCAGGTGGAGGAGAAGTCTTTATGGGGGCCTCGCTCTGCTGTCCTCCAATAACCTCCAATCTGTTTTGGACTGTGAGAAGGAGCCATAACGGGACTAGCAAATTCTGTCCAGAGGGATTTGTTTGCTTCGGTTGTCAAGGTCCTTGCTGATAGTGTTGGTTTCTTATTGCTGCTGTGACAAATAATCACACACTTAGCAGCTTAGAACAACATGAATTGATTATTTTGTAATCCTGTAAGCCAGAAGTCTGGGCACAGTGTGGTTCCCCTGGGTGTACTCCTTAGAGTCTCACGAGACTGAAATCAGAGGCTTTACAGTGCTGTATTCCTTTTTAGAGCCTCTGAGGATGCATCTGAGGATACATCTTCTGAGCTCATTCAGGTTGTTAGCTGAATTCAGTTCCTTGCATTTGTAGGACTAATGTCCCTGTTTCCTACCTGGATGTCAGCTGAGGCCGGTCTTTGCTGCTAGAGGCTGCCAGCATTCATTCTCATGACTTTTTTTTTTTTTTTTTTTAAATCAGAGAGAGAACACAAGCAGGGGGAGTGGCAGGCAGAGGGAGAAGCAGGATCCCTGCTGTGCAAGGAGCCCGATGTGGGACTCAATCCTAGGACCTTAGGATCATGACCTGAGCTGAAGGCAGCTGCTTAGCTGGCTGAGCCACCCAGGCGTCCCTTTAATTTTTTTTTTTTTTTTTATGAGATAGAAAGAGAGAGTCCTTCTCATGATTTTCATGTGGCCCCGCTCCAGCCACACTGGGTCAAGACCCTCCCATGCTTTAAATTTCTGTCTTTTCCTTCTGCCATATCTCTCTGCTTCTAGCCAGAGAAAGTTCTCTGCCTTTATGGGCTCATGTGATTAGATTGGACTCATCTAGATAATCTAGGATCATCTCCCTATTTGAAGGTCTGTAAGTGTAATGATATCTGTAAAGTACATTTTACCATGTGATCTAACATATTCAGGTGCCAGGGACTAGGGTGCGACTGCTTTGGGGGAGGCACTCATCCTGCCACAAATGTCTTTTAACTGAAAGGTATATTTCATTATGTCTTTGAAATGTTTCCTCAGTGCTCTTGGCTCTTTATTAGTCCCTCTTCGGCTCTGTACATTTTCTTGCCCATATCCTGAGAGTGACTCCAACACATAATAAACGCTACCCACTAGGGTTTTTAATGCGCAAATCAAAAACAGCAGTGACTTTGGGAAGTAGGGCATCTCTGAACAAGACATGAGCCATTCATCAACAAACTAACAAAGATTTACTGTATGTCTGCTTTGTGCCAGGTCCTGTTCTAAGGCTCCAGAGCTGCAGCCACGATCAGGGCAGACAAACGCACATGGAGCTTTCACTCTAGTGGGCACTGGGAACCAACTTCCAGGCTGAGATTGGGAATTTGAGGAATTCTTCACAGGTTCTGGGTCTGTGGACTGAGGGCTGTCCTTCCATCCCAGTTTCCCTGATGAGCCCCCAGCAGCTCCCTGACACCAATCTTTGCCAGCATGAGACACTGCAAGTCTGGAAAGAATGTGGGGTTAGCTAGGCTTGGGTTCTAGTCTTGGCTCACTGTTGCCACAGTGATTCGAAAATGGCATCTGATCCTTGAAGTGGGGCAAACAGTGTCTGATTCTTGAGTCAGGAAGGACAGGCATATGGACTTATCTTTTTAGTAACAACTTGGGGACTGCACAACCATGTGGTTAGATTGTCTTGACCTCTGATGATACCTTTACCCTAAAAGGGAAAGTTCTGTTTCTGTGGAACAAAGAGCTCCGTTCACATGTCTTCTGGTGCATGCAGCATATTCTTGAAAAGGCAGAACTCAGTTCATGGGACAAAGGAGGTAAAGTGAGTGGTGCCCTGAGGTCCCCACAAGACCAGTGATCTCACAGATGGGCTCTGTGTAGATTGAAGGAACAGATAGAGAAGGACAGAACAAAGTCATTATTGTCTTGCAAGCTCTTTGTTTAGCATCTGCTTGACCCTTGACACAGGTTAGAATACAGAGGGGCTTGGCTCATTCCTTTTTGGGGCTACATACTTCATCTTATTCCATGCAACCCTTAAAGCATTTGTATGAATATTTTGGAGGAGAAAATAGTTGCTTTTCTCCTTCTCCTCCTGCATAAAAGTCAGACATTTGTGGTAAGTATCAGATTTTGTTTGGTGTTGTTTGATTGTGCTGCCCACCTGTTTACAGCATATGCTTTCATCAGGCAGTCCATTGCAATCCTTATCATTTGGTAAATGGTAGAATGACACACCTCATGGATTTACTCTTAAGACTGTGTCTTTAGGGGCACGTGGGTGGCTCAGTCGGTTAAGTGTCTGCCTTTGGCTCAAGTCATGATCCTGGGGTCCTGGGATGGAGTCCTGTGTGGGGCTCTCTGCTCAGCAGGGAGCCTGCTTCTCCCTCTGCCTGCAGCTCCCCCTGCTTGTTCTCTCTCTCTCTCTCTCTCTCTGTCAAGTAAATAAATTAAAAATTAAAAAAAAAAAGACTAAATTCCTATACAAAAAGGGGAGCACACAACTGGAGATAAATTGGTGTATTAAACAGAGTGTTAATATGATTTTACTCCATCTGTATTGACATTTCTGCAGACTGTTTCTTCCTTGAAGAGTGCTGTTTCTTAAATTAAGGTTTAGGTTTGATTTTGGTCCTGAATTATGTGGTAGTAGATGTATTAAACTGTGTTTAAAAAGAGAAAAAAAGTTGGGGCACTTGGGTGGTGCCGTCATGTTAATCCTCCGACTCCTGGCTGAGGTCATGATCTCAGGGTCTTTGAGATTGAGCCCTGTATCGGGCTCCACACTCAGCGCAGAGTCTGCTCAGGGTTCTCTCTCCTTCTGCCCTCTGCCCCTCTCCCCCGAGCACTCTCTCTTTCTCTCTCTCTCTCAAATAAGTCAATAAATCTTTCTAAAAAAAATAGCAAAAAAGTATTTTTTAATTGCATTAGACACATAAAATTTAAAAGTTAATATTTAAATTGTTGAATTGTTTTTAAAAGATTAGTACCCCCCTCAGACATGAGTTTTGCAGTTCCCTACTTTAGTAAGAAATATTAAAATGTTCCTCAAAGGAAAACTTCATTGTCATGCGAGTCATTGGAAAGAGGAAAGATGTCATCTGGGTGGCAGTAGTCTTTGTACCTGGTATCTGGCTTATTTATTTTCCATTTGAGCTAAAACATAAAATCTTAGCCTTCAGTTGGATTTTCTGAATATGGGCAAAGTGAAGTAGAGACTTTTAGCCTACTTGGAGAATAAGGGAAGTTTGAAATGTCCTAATGAACACCTTGTAACATGTATTCATGGGGGGGGAAATAAAATTGTGCATTATATTGAAAATCCTATTCAAATGTATTTGCGTCCACATTATTTAGTAGTAGAGTCCCTGAAAAATTTGGATGGGGATAAGATTTTTGTAAATTGAAAAGAGTTTTCAATTACATTTAATTTCACAGATGTTCTGTCTTCTATTTCTATTTGGCTGTGGCTTCTCAATGTATTAGTAATTTCGCCCAGTCTTTATTTTATACAGTGATCGTCTATAAACAAACACTTAAATTAATTCATTCAGCAAATATTGAGCCCTGATCTGTGCCATGCACGGGGCTAGGGGGGCAGTGGCGAGCAAGGTACAGCTTTCTTTGTTTCCCTGCTGGTGGGCAGTGGATGGGACAGACCAGAAAAGGAGCAGAAGCATTCTCTGCTGGGTGTTGTGTAGGCCTAACCCACACTAACCCAGTCTTTGAGGATCAGGAAAGAAGCATCTGTCAAGTTGGGACCTAAAGAATAAAGTATAGTCAAGTAAAGAGCAGGGAGGAGAATGTTCCAGGACCTGGCTTGCGTATGGGGTCCAGAGTGGGGAGAGAAACGAAGGTGGTATTTACGGGAACCGCACGTGATGGAGTGGTTCAGAATGGAGCAGATACAGCTATGGGGAGTTTGAAGATAGAAAGAACAATAAGACAGGATGCTGTGGAGGTGACCGCAGGTTAGCAGAGGCAAACTTTCAGGAGCTGTGTTAGGCTCTTGGGCCTCATCCTTTAGAGCAAGGGCACCCCCCGGAAGGCTCCAGAGGGTGAGTGACTTGATGAGGTAAATTTGAATGACCTTTGAAGCAGGACTCACACCAGTTCATCTCTTGCCCTCCTGAGGTGTTTCTCTCTTGGTTTTTCTTCCACACACATGTACTGGATGCCTAGTTATTCTGTACCAGGAACTATGTTGGATGCTGAGTTGAAATAAAATACCAGCTCAGAAATTAAAGTCAAATTGACTTGGCTAGGTTACTGCCTTTTTAATTTTCAGTCTTTTACAATTTAGTTAAGCTAGTAGGATAGAAAGACTATAATGAAATCATCTTTTAGACCCAAAAAAAGATGGGGCACAATGGCCTTTGTCATTCTAGGGCCAGCGCTCCAGAATGTCATACTTTTAGGCAGTGTTGCCATGTTGTGATTAACACACTTTGCAGAAATGGGCGGGAGCCTTTTGGGTAATATAATATGCATTTGTCTATCCTTCCTGTAATGATATTACAGTATTTAGTTATGATCTAAAATTATTGCATAATAAATGAATTCTGGTTAGCTTAACGTAGGTCATGTAGTCCCTCACTAAAGGTTTTATCTTCACTCTTTTCCCCTCTTTGTTCATACAGAAAATCACTTGCCTCCTGTGGTCAATGGGGACCCATGTGAGTTCATAGCCAATGGAATGTTTTTGTTTAGGAAAAATAATAGTAGGAATTCCAAACTGTAGATTGTTTACTGGAACTCTACGGAAATACTGGTTGGCAAGCTTTGCCTTCCTTTGTCAAGTATTAGCAGGAGACCACAGTTAATACTAGGTTCAGGCACGTGGTTCTCAGACCTCATTTTGTGGCCCAGTTTCAGGGCATGTTTCCTGGGGTTAATTTTATTCAAGGAACTTAAACATCTTTCGGATCGGGTATGTAGTCAAGCCAACTTACACTCTTGACCCTTCTTCCACTTCTGCCCGCTCTGCTTCCTTTCCTCCTCTCTCCCTCTTTTATCTTTCATTTAATTAAAAAGTATGAACTAGTGAAAACTTACAACAGAGGCGCAGAGACTAATATAAAGAACACCCTTGTCCCATCATCCATCGTTCACCTTGTTTGCTTCCGATTCTTTTCAGGAAATAAAACATTACAGGTATTTTCGATGCCACCTGTGTATCCCCATCTCTTTCCCTCAGAGACAGTCACTACCCTGGGGTTGCATGCTTTTCTGCTTTATATCATATAGATGTATTTGCATTCTGTTAATAACAATATACCCTATTGGTTTGTAGGTATTCACATCGTATAAATGCGTATATTGATCTGCAACTTGTCTTTTTCAGTCCATATCATATTGTTGAGATTTATCAGTATTAAACATGTGGCATCTGATTCATTTTAACTGCTACATGGTATTTCCTTTATATACTGAAATTTAAAAAAAACCCGTTCTTCAGTCTCTGGTTTATTTTTTCACATTGTTTATAGTGTCTTTTGGTGCATAGTTTCTACTTTTAAAAGGTTGAAGTCATTTTTTTCCACCTTGGTTTGGACTTTTATATTTTAGGAAGGCCTCCCCTACCCCAAGTTCATAAAGACATCTTCTCCTATATATTTGCAACTTTCATTTTTTACTTTGAGCTCTCTAATCTGCCAAGAACCTAATTTTGTATAGTGGTGTGAGATGGAAAACTTTCTAATTTTTCTTACATGAACAACTAGTCCCAGCAACAGTAATTGAATAGCCCATCTTTTCCCCATGAATTTGTAATATTTAGTTTGCAGATTCTCATCAGTCTCTTCTCTGTATTTTATAACACCCAAGCACAGAAGAGTAAAATGAAGTCTTGAGCAAAATATCTGGATACCCTGAGCTTTAAACAATGCTGAAGATGAATTTTTTTTTTTTTTTTAACCCTGTCATGTCAGCCCACACCTGTATGTAACTCCAACACATCTTTGAAAATGAAAGTTTATTTGTATTGACAATAGGTTGCAAATACTTATGTTCGTGAATACTGAGCATTTAATCTCAAGCAACAGTTAGTGTAAAAAGGGATCCTAATAATGACCTTGATTGTCCTACCTGTTACTTATGGATGGCTTTAGCCAGTGTTCCTCTTAGAGACCCAAACCTAAAGTAGCAGCAAACCAGAGCTCAGACTATTGACAATAACTTTATGATGTGGTATTACATTTGTGTCTCAATATGTGAAAGTCTGATGTCCACGGTAAATGTAATGAAGTCCTTATATTATGTCTGTGGTCAGCTGTGGTGTTCATGGGTTAAACAGTCATGCAGTGCATGTGTGGAGCTTTGCTGAATTGTGTAGCTTTTAAAACAAGAGGAATAAGTCTGCCTCAAAGGTTAAGACATTTACATTGAAAAACCTGAAGGGAAAATTAGTACCTATGAAAGTTTAAATTCATTCAGATGAGGAAGGCGTCATCTAAGAACAATATGAACTGCTGATTGATTAGTCCCTTCAGGGGAGAGGTGACTGCAAATGGTGACAACAGGCCAGTGGCGTAGCTAAGGTTTCAGAGACTTGGCCTTTGGCACTTGGTGGCTGTGAACTCAGTTGGTGTACCGTTCTGGCCTCACATGCATTTTGCACCATCTCCGATCCCAGTCGAGCTGGGTGAACGGCTTGGCCTGTCTTCAGTGCTTCACCATCCAAAGCAGACAGCGTCGTGTTGACCAGACAACCAACCACCTTCGCGCAAAGCAGGCTGTGAAAAAGAGGCATGAACGTTGTCCAAGGGGCTATGGCTTAGTGGTTCTCAAACTTTGTGCAAAAAAACCCCTGAGGCTTCTTGGCTCACATGCCTCACTTCTGAATCAGTAGGTCTCCGAGGGCTGGGAGGCTGCACGCTTAGCAAACACGGCAGCTGGTGCTGGTGCTGGTGCAAGAGCTTTGAGACCACACTGTAGCCACGGAAGCTGCTCCTTCACACGTGTCTGCCATGATTTTGGTTGTCGTCAAGGGCAATTGGTGCCATTTAAATTTAATATTTCCTCTTTGTAGATTCACTTCTTTTGCTTAATAAGCTTAGAAAAATTATATCTCTACTGTAAAGGTAAAAAATCAATATCATTATAAATAGATTGCATATGCATTAAGGTGAATGTGTGTGTGCGTACACACGTGTGTATGTATGTAGGTATAAATACATATACCTAAACGTTGGTGATGATTTTTCCTTTCAGTCTTTCGATTTAAATGTCAAACTTGGGGGGCACCTGGGTGGCTCAGTCGTTGAGCGTCTGCCTTCAGCTTGGGTCATGGTCCCAGGGTCCTGGGATTGAGCCCTGCATCGGGCTCCCTGCTCGGCGGGAAGCCGGCTTCTCCCTCTCCCACTCCCCCTGCTTGTGTTCCCTCTCTCGCTCTCCCTCTGTCAAAAAATTAAAAAAATACTAAAAAAAAAAGTCAACCTTGGAGCAAGTTTATATGTGTGTGTGTGATATAAATATACATCTGTAGTTATATTTCATCCACCGAGCATTACTTAACATAAGTATATATTTCATCTGCTTGATATCTTTTGTTTCACAGTTTTGCAAACACTGAGGGAAAGGGGGGCCTTAGGGAGGAAAGGCGCATTCATTTCAAGCCTTTAGGAATTAGGTCTTAGTCTTGCACTGAAGAGGATTTCTAATGTTAGAAATAGCACCTTGGGAGTGGCTGATGGGCTTTGAGATGACAACTCTAGTTCTCTGCTCAGTGGAGGGAGGCCGCCTCAACAGGAGAAACAGTTCTTCGAGAGCTAGCCTAGCCAAGAAACGGAAGGGAGGATGGATCTCTTTTCAATAAGTAGAAAGCCTTTCAGTTTTGGTAATAAACTTTTGGGGAAGGAAAGAGGAAGGTAGGGGTGACATTGCTGAGAACTGAGGGGTCACTGTGTGCCAGGCACTGTGTGAGGTGCTCTGCACACGTCCTCTCATTCAGCCTTCTTGATGCCAGCCCACGTGCACACCACAAATGCTGATGCATTGAGCCATTTGCCCAGGGGTCTGTAGCCACCCCGGGTCCCCATAACCAGAGAAGAGGGGACAGAGTGACAAGAATCATTAGAATCTTATTTCCATTAAGACTTTATAAAAAAATGGATTAACTACTAAATTTTAAGTTGTGGAAAAGGATGTTCAGTTAATTTGGCATTCTTTTGTTTTGCTGCATGGTCCTGAGTGTGCATCATCTTGTGAGCCTGATGGAAGCATAGAAACACTTTACCTCCCATGCCTTCCAATGAAGACCTCTCAGTTTGTAAAAGTTTTCTTATTGTAGGTTCTGTAGAGTCAACTCTTAATGTGATAACCTTTAGTGATGATGTAAACCTGTAGTAAGAAAGTGAAAAACCAAAAATCTCCCTCTTGTTTCTGCTCATGATTACTTAATGGAATCATCGTTAACAATTTGTGAGTTGCATCACCGAGACCTACTTGAGTATAGTGGTTAAGGGTAATCAGAGGCCCATCTGAAGATGGGGAGTGTGGAAAAGGTGGACCCTGGTGAGTAAGCCACTCTAGGAGAGCTCATGAGTCAGGCTGGACAGATTTTTTCATAGAACCTTTAGACAGATTTTATCAGGAATGTACATTCAGGATTTGGCTTGGATATTATGATGACCATTATGATACTAACTTTTAATCTTCTGTATTTGGAGTTCTTTTTATTTTATTTTATTTTTTATTTATTTATTTTTTAAGTAAGCTCCACACCCAGTGTGGAGCCCAACAGGGGACTTGAACTCATGACCTTGAGATCAAGACCTGAGCTGAGATCAAGGGTCAGTCCCTTAACTTACTGAGCCACCCTGGTGCCCCTGGAGTCCTACCTATCTATCTATCAATCTCTATCTCTTTTTTTTATTTATTAAGATTTTATTTATTAGAGATATGACAGATAGAGAGAGCATGAGTGGGAAGGAGAGAGAGAAGCAGGCTCCCCAGTGGGCAGGGAGTCCAGTGCAGGTGGGGCTTGATCCCAGGACCCTGAGATCATGACCTGAGTCAAAGGTAGCCGCTTAACCAACTGAGCCACCCAGGCGCCCTCCTCCCCTGGAGTTCTTTTTAAAGGAAAATCTCTCCAGCTGCTAGTTCTGAGATAATGATGAGCTCTGTCCACTTCCAGCTATTTTCCACATGGTCTGTATTATGATTTCACAACATTTCTTGATACAAGACAAGTAGCAAAATAGCCCAGCCTTGGGGCGCCTGGGTGGCTCCATTATTTAAGTATCCAACTCTTAATTTCAGCCCATGTCATGATCTCTGGGTCGTGGGATCAAGCCCTGCATCAGGTTCCACGCTCAGCACGGAGTCTGCTTGAGTTTCGCTCCCTCTGCTCCTCCCCCTGCTCGTGCTCTCTCTCTCTCTCTAAAATACATAAATAAATCTTAAAAAAATAGCCCAGCCTTCTCTAGATTAAAGAGGTATCTGATATATTAAATAAAATGATGCCCATAGAAGCGCCAAGGAAATATGGCTTTTCCCAGAAACTTTTTTTTTCTATTTAATAAATAAAAATGATGAAACTAACCCTATATCTTTTTCCTTTCGGAAGCCTGAAAACTCAGAACCCAAATTTGAGGCTCCTCAGCTCTTGTAATTCTGGCTTCAGGGTCCACGCATCATTGTTCTTTTTCTTCTCTAGGGTAGGCTTTCTGCCCTAACTTATCTTTTCCTAGGGCCCAATTAATTATTTTTTTTATATTTGCTGTGAGACTAGCTGGCATATAACAGCAATTAAATATACACATGAGTAAATATAAAGATCTGACTAAAAGTAGATATAAAAATAAGCATTCTGTATTAAATTTCCAGTGTGAGTGCTGGCTTGAGCAGAATGAGCTAGAATTTCTCCTTTCCATGCTTTTGGCAGCTTTAAACTTTACATATTCTTCCTTTCTTGTGAGCCATTACAAAATTGTTTCTCAAGGTCGTTCCTCTGTTGCCCATCTTGCAGACAGAGTTGGGAATTTGTGGTCAGAGTTGCACTGGAGACACACACACACCCCAGCATTAGATGGTTTTATCTGTTGTGTATCAAATAATTTTAAATATATATTTCTACACTATTTAAAAGCATTCATTAGAGGATTAGTAATTCTTGTCTAAAACAATCTGCAGACTGGCAGTTAGAATAATTTTAGTGTCTTATTTTGGTTAGGAGTGGGTTTTTTGTCTTTTAAACTCAAGATTGTGAATGGTTTTAATTATTTTCAGTAGAGATTTCAGGTTTACATTTGAGCTTAGAAACAAAGTATTTTTTTCTCATTCCAGAGGGAACTAAACTCTACATCTCCTTTCCTGAACAAGGAACTGGTTAAAGCCACAGAAACTTTGCTGGATAGTCTCGGGACTTTGGCCCAAGAGGTAAGTTGTGCCTTTCAGCACCAGGAGGCAGACCATCCACTCTGGCTTTTTCTCTACCCCGAGTGTGGCTTAGAGGGTCCTTTTGATTTGAATATCACGTGACGCATAAAATCAATTTTAGAAGCATCCGTGAACTTAAAAGTCATCTGATTTGAGCTCCTTCCTTTAGAGATGAAGAAACCAAGATGCAGAGATGTCTCAGAGCTAATTAGTTTGTGGCTGAAGTCCCGGTACCTAGTCTGGAACTTTCTCCCAGTGTTACTCTCTGAACCCAGCAAGGCCAGTCTTTTTACCAAAACGTTTGTTTGCTAACTAAAGGGGATGGCGTGTAGCCCTAATTCAGACGTTCCCCTGTAAACACCTGGCCTCTGACATTCGCCTTTGGGAATGCCATTTCTTGACAAACATTAAGTCTCGTTTGCCTTTTGAGTCTGCATGTTGACAGACGTATCAGAATAACTTTATATGCGCAAGATCAGGGGGGCCTGTAGGTGCTGGCAAAAGCAGTTAACCTTTTCTCTGCCTGCCGGCCAGGGTGACCCTCACACACAGGACACCCAACCTTGTTGCGGGTTAGACTTGGAGAAGAGGAGCTGTTTGGAGCCCAGTGTGTAAGGAGCTGAGCCGGGGGGCGGCCGTCAGAAATAGTCAGGCCTAAATGTCTGGGACAGTGGATAGGGATAATGTTCTCAGCCTTTTTTGAATCGTTTCTCTAAATCATTTTTTGGTATTTGCTTTATTTTTCTCAAATATCAAAATTTAGGTTTCCGAGAATAAAAGTATCGTACGTCCATGATGGCAAGTGCAGAGCATTTGGAAAACATGGAGATTAAGCCCTGTTGACAATTTGGCATATTGCATTTAGTTCAGTTTTCTTTTTTCTTTGAATTCTGCTCATGGGTGTCTGGCTGAAGAGGCTTGGGTTTTGGGTCCCTTTCGGGAGAAGTCCTTTCCAGCCTGCCATTTGTTATTCTGCTTGTGAATGCTGGTGACCTTTAGGTAGGTGCAGAAGCTGGGTCACCTGGGGCTCTTCCAGAAAGAAAAACAGAAAGTGACCTGCAAGTGCATAGCCGTTGCTCCAGGGTCCTGCTAGTGAGCACCAGCATACCCTGTGCTCTCCCAGCTTTCCTCCCAGCCTTAGAGCAAGCAGAGCAGAGCCTGTGACGTGGGAGGGTGTCTCTAAATTTAGGGTCTGGGTACAGTGTTTTCTCTTACATCACTGGTCTGCCTTTTGTCCAGGTTAAGAAAAATAATTGAAAGCATGTGATGTTTCCATTGCTGATGAGGCAGAAAGTCTCCACTGAGCCATGTATCATTTTTCTTGGCAGCTGCTTCCCTGTGCCCTGCTTGCTCCCTGGGCCAGGGCAAGCAAGGGCCACCCACTGCTCTCTTTGGAACACCTTCAAGTAACCATGACCATGAGTTACTTATTGTCAAACTTGCTATTTCCCTGAGACAGATGGGGAGAAGATAAATATATGCACATGTGTATCTGTTCAGTGTTCGAAAGAAAGTTGAATGTTTTGACCAAAGTACCACCCTTGAAAGGAAAAGGGAGCTAACAGTTTCTGAGGCCCTCCACCTGATTCATGCAGTTTCACCCCATTTCCCTATATGTTCACATGACAAATGTGAGTGGGTCTTATTCTGCCCACTTTACAGATGGCACGGAGGCTCAGAAGAGTGGGACTCACAGTCATCTAGGTAGTTAATTGGCAAAAACTAGGATTTGAACCCGGGACTGTTGGACTACAAACCCCATGAACTCTGGTGGAAACTAGACTAGAATAGAAAGGATACCCTTCAAAGAAGGAAATGCGGATTAACAGGGCCTGGCAATTGGGTAGCAATGGGGACTTTAGGAACCAGATGAGTGAAAGCTGCATGAGCTCCACATCTGGGTGACAGGGAAGGTGTGCCTGATGTGATGGGGAAGGCAGGACGGGGAGCCCCCTAGTTATCTCTTCAGCCCCTACCAGGGGCCTGACATTGCTAGATGGTGGGGTCTCAGAAGCGAGCACACTAGCTTTCCTGTTCTCATGGGGCTTGCGTGGTGGGAGATAGAAATAAACAGGTCAGCATATAATGTGCTGAAGAAAAATAAAGCAGGGTAAGAAGGATAGAGGGTGCTTGAGGTATTGTTTCAATGGGGTGATTAGAGGAGTCCTCTCTGACAAGGTGACAGTTGAACCTGAAGAAATGACCATACATTGTCCACTCCAAGCAGGAACAGATACAAAGACACTGATGTGTAGGGCATGATGAAGGAAGGTATTTAAAGACCCGGGAAGGAGGATGGTGTGGCCAGAACAGAGGGAGCAAGGGAGAGGGTGCTGGGAGCTGAGGTTGGAGAGGGAGGTGAGCACCGTGCAGGCCTGGTAAGGCTGGATTTAAGCTGAGCAAGATGGTAAGCCAGTGGGGGGTTGGAGCACAGGGTATATGATGTGACCTAGAGTATGAGACTGTTAACAGTTTGGCTGTTAACTTGAGATGAGACTAAGGTGGGGGCATGGGAAGAAGGGGGCCATTGCAGTGTCTTGAGAAAGTAGTCAGTGGGAGTGCTTCACAGAACAAGTGTGGAGCATGAGCCGAGGTGTGGAAAAATGAGTAGGAGTTCACCCCAAGACAGGTGCTGGGAAGAGCTGACAGTTGGGAGTAACTCCGTCATTCTGGTGCCTCTGTCCAAAGATGTACTGGTTTTATGTGGGAAGAAGTTTGTTCTTTCGGTTGGCGGCTGGTGGTAGTGAGGCAACCTCTGGAAAGAGAAGTGAGTGGCTCTCACTCACTGTCATTAAAACATCTCCAGTGCTGTTTACCCACCAACAAAAGGAAAGGTGGTCTGGCTACCTCTGCCCTCCCTGTCCAGATACCTCATCCAGGTGATGAAAAGATAAAGTAAGGAAAAGCTAGCCACCCAATTGTGTTCTTGTAGTATATCAGATGCTCCCTATTTGGAGGGAGAAAAGTTTGTGACCTCTGACCTACCCCTGGAGTGCCTGGTTTCCCCCTGGAGGCAGAAGGCAAAGTCAGGATCTACAGTATCAAGGAGCATGTGACCCAAAGGAACCAGAAGGCTGAGATGGAAAACTGGGCACACGGTGTCAGAATCTAGGCGTTCTACAGGGGATGGGCAGGGCCCCTGGGTCTCTCCCCTCTGCCCTCCATGGCTCAGTCTTCGGGGTGGTGAAAACATGCAGTGACATTTCAAGGAATGTAGAGATTTATTACTGATTTATTGTGAAATGTGTAGAAATGCAAAGTGTGTGATAAGTATTTAATGATAAGAACAGTTGGGCCAAGAACTCTACAAGGTGCTAGAGCACATTAGTCTATGAGACAAAGCGCTGGTTGGGTGTAAGTCACAGACACGGCCCATAGCTGCTGGGACGTGGACCTCATCCCGTGCAGGGCCTTCTCTTCTATTCCATGTGCTTTACCCTGCCCCATGCTCTGTTGAGCTTCATCGTCTTGGCGAGAAGTTAGGCCCGCAGAGAAGTGACTTTTGTAAGGCTGGCAGCGAATGAGACACGTAGCGGGGATGCAGCCCTGGGTCTCTCACGGTAACGCTTCCCGTGCTGTCGAACACCTCACTGAGACCACGATGGGCACTTTACACACACTACCTTCCCTCCCAGGGGCAGAGGCGTCCTCAGTTTCCACGGGGAAGTTTAAGGTGTTTTAGAAATAAGGATGTGCTCTAGGGTGTGAGCAGTTCCTGAAGGATGTATATGAACACAGTGGCTATTCAGAGAAAGCCTTCTCTTCCATCAACTAGAAGATAATCCATATGGAATAAAGCCCATCACCAGAGGCTCCACTGACTTCTGGTTTGTGCTTCTCAGTCTTTAATTTGCATAGGGATCACCTGGGTGTCTTGTGAAAATGCAGATTTGAATTGTAGTTGGATAGATCTGCACCTCGCCCATAACTCCCCTGCTGGTCCCAGGACCACCAACGGAGTAGCAGGGTTCTGGCAATCCCATCGCAAGGCTCAGAGGACAGGACACAGTATGTTCCGGGGTGTGGCTCTGGAGAGGTCAAGAAAATAAGCTGCTTCTTTCTCTCTCTTTCCCCCACCCTCGTGATACTCTTTTCTCCTCCTTCCCTCCTCCCTCCCTTTTTCTTCCCGATCCCGGGCACCAGCTGTTCAGCATGAACAGCTGGAGCGACATGCGGCAGGAGGTCATGTTCCTGACCAATGTGAACAGCTCCAGCTCGTCCACCCAGATATACCAAGCCGTGTCCCGCATCGTCTGTGGCCATCCCGAGGGCGGGGGCCTGAAGATTAAGTCCCTCAACTGGTACGAGGACAACAACTACAAAGCTCTCTTTGGTGGCAACGGCACGGATGAAGATGCTGACAGCTTTTATGACAATTCTACAAGTGAGTGCGTAGAAGGAGGCCCCGGGCGGCCAGCCAGCCTCAGCCCCCCATTAGTGCTAGCCTGGGTCCCGTGTCCCCCCTCCCTCATGTTTACCCCATCCCCACATTTTATAGGCTCAGCAAGGTTAAGTGACTTCATCAGAGCCACACCGTAGTGAATCCACAGGAGCCGGGGTTAAGCCCGGATCTGCCTGGCCCCGTGCTTTTTTTTTCACCCCCGTAAACCACATGGCCTCTGAGACGGCTGTTAATGTGGTGCGTGTACTGTCAGACTCAGGCATTTGATCTGCTGTTTGTTTTTGGTGCTTAGCTGCAAGGTGGTGTGAAAGAACCTTGTAACTCCATATCTGCTTCTCACACTTGGGCAGTTTCATGGGGATGTGTGTTCTGTGTCTAGTGGCAGCAAGGAGCCAGTGTTACAGTTTTAGACAATGGCATCATTTTCCTTGAACACATGATGCAAGTGAGCCTTTCTCCATTTCCAACCGCAGGTGTCTCTTTCAGACACTGAGTGAGGTAGCTTTTTATGCATTACTGTGACACAAGAACCTTTTATTCTTTCCTGGAGTAAAGCACTCCAGACATAGCAGGGTGCTTTGCAAGCCTGAAGGGAATGGCATTAGAGGAACTTTTCTGAAATGCTGTCCGCTCCACTCCCTCACTTGCAAGTCAACCCAAGGGAACCTTCATCTGCAAAGCAGATCCAACTATGAGCAAATCCTTTTTTTTTTTTTAAATATATCCTCTCTGCAGCATATAGAGGATGCTTGCCATCTAAAAAACCCAAAATGAATTAAAAAAAAAAAAATTCAGGAATCCTTCTGGATAACCAAACCTCATTGTCTGTTATAACTTTGGATTTCTCCTTTAGGAATTTTTATTGCATATATTACATATACTTGTGATGAGACCTGTTAAAGGGAAATGTTTTATTTTTGCCCAAAAACTAAAATCTAAATTCAGCTCTCTGTTCTCAATGAAAACAAATTGGCAAGCTGACACGAGACTATGAATCTAGAGTTATGCAGGTATGTGGGCAGTAAAAACATTTTTCTGGATCCTCTCGGTTGTGAGTTACCCCTCACCAGTGTTATAATAAGCTCTGATTACTTGTCAAGCATTGTTGTAGGGGCTGTATAGATATAACATCTGTTAATCCTCACCACATCTCTGCCAAGTACATAGTAACTGAGGCTCACACAAGTGAAGTTACTTGTTACATAGCTGCTACTAAGTGGTGGAACTGGGACTTGAACCCAGGACTGTTCGGCTAGCTCCAAAGCCCTTGTTAGTTCCTACAAGTATATGACCATGCGTATGAATATCTGTCTTTCGTCGTCTTCGTAGCTCCTTATTGCAATGATCTGATGAAGAATTTGGAGTCCAGTCCCCTTTCCCGCATCATATGGAAAGCTCTCAAGCCTCTGCTTGTTGGGAAGATCCTGTATACACCTGACACTCCAGTCACAAGGCAGGTTATGGCCGAGGTAAGCTGCGCAGGCCCAGAACTCCCTCTCTAGAATCCTCCTAGAGCCATGGGCAAGAAAGTGAAGGTGGCTTCAAATGGATTGTATCGATTATGCTCATGGCTCTTCAGGGTTTCCAAAGAGGGAGAACCGCAAGTGTGGCCCAGGCCAGAGCTGACTGTGGAGGGCCAGCTCTCCAGCCTTGGGTATTTGAATCATAGCTGCAGGCACTTCTTAGGGATGGGAAAAGACTGGAACAGCGATGGAGCATCTCGTCAGGGGGCAGCTGAATGTCTCATGGCCCTGTCTCTCTCCTTTTTTCCTGCTGCCTTTGGGTCCCCAACTGACTCCAGGTGAATAAGACCTTTCAGGAACTGGCTGTGTTTCATGATGTGCAAGGCATGTGGGAAGAGCTCAGCCCCAAGATCTGGACCTTCATGGAGAGTAACCCGGAAATGGACCTTGTTCGGGTGAGCATCCCTCGGATTACTGTGTGCTTGCTTGATGCTAGAGAGGGGAGTTTCTGGTCACTTTCCCAGAGGTGACTGAGACGGGAATTCTTACATTTAACCAGGATAGATGTAGTAAGCACAGCTCCAGCTGCCGGGGATGGTGCACAGATAACGCTTTCATGCACACCCGTATCCATGCGTCTGGTGGTCAAAAATCCGTTTTCCAAGAAACTTAGTGAGGGTTGGTATTGGTGATTGTAGGCCCCTGCCTATTGTCATTTCTGGTCCTGAAGCCAACCATGGCGTCTTATTTAGCCTTCCCGTATCTTGGTAGGGTCTCGACACAGGTGTGGGGGCAAAGGCCTGGCTCCTGGCTCCCAAGGCAGCCACCATTAAGGTGTGGAGGGGAATTGCCCTGAGTGCTTCTGAGCCACTTGAAAGGGATAAGTTCTCTAGAGACAATTAGATTCAAAAGCGGAGGAGTCTGAGCAAGAACAGAATGTTTTCTTTGTATGAGCCTGAGTGCCATTTAATCACATCATCCCTGCCTTGGGCTGAGTCAGAGAATCATTAGACCATTTCCTATCTCCATGGTGAGGGAGGCCTCTTTCTTTTGTTTCTGCTGCCATTAAGAAGCAGGAATGGATTTTACCAGGTTTCTTGTCTTGACACCTCATTGATCAGAGAGGGCTGCTGGGTTTTAGAGGTGGGGCCTGCTTGGAAGGTACTCTCCCAGGCTTAGGACTCCCCCTTGATGCCCTGGGGGTGGGGGTGGGGTGAGAAGTGCGATACCCAGGGGGCCTTCCAGTGATGGGAAAGCTGGAGTCATCTTTTTGCTCTAGTCCTGTTCCATGTGCAGAATTCTTAAATTGGGGCCTTTAAAAACTAAGGGACTTGGGTGAGAAAAACATGAACAATAATTTGCATGGATATATGGAATAATTCCTGACTAGTAATAACAACTCATGCCCTTCAAGTATGGGTCTCTGTTGGGCTCCAGTCTCTCCTCTAGAAGGGATTCATGTGATCCAGCCACGTACAGTGCCATAGACGTAGGTGTGGTCTTGGGCCTCTTCTTACTGGTCCTGTCCTTGGAATCCGATTTTTACTTGTTGGATGTCTTCTCCTTCTGTGTCTCAGAAGATTATGAGGGGTCCTGTTGAAGAGACTCCATGTGTTTTGGTCTGTAGGCAGATAGATGTTTCCCCTACTCTACTGATCAATTGATTTAAAAAAAAAAAATTTAAGATTTTTATTTATTTTTTAAGAAATCTCTATATCCAGCATGGGGCTTGAACTCAACCCCAAGATCAAGTCACATGCTCTGCCAACTGAGTCAGCCAGGTGTCCCTTATTTTAAAATTTTTAATTGAAGTATAGTTGACATATAATATTAGCTGCTTCCCCTACTCTTAAGTGGAGAGTTTGGCTTGGATGCTCCAGCAGCTCCTAGCTCCCAGTGTTTAGAGGACAAAGCTCTTATAAACATGGCCACGGCATTCGTTAGTAATTCTGCTGGCAGAACCCAGGATATGCAATAGGAAATGTAGGAACTGTGGCTGGGGAGGAAGGCATGGCACGGGACATAGTTTGGAGGGCCTTGTGTATGAAACCAAGAACTTTTACTTTAAGTTCTGGGGGACCATGAACAAGTTTTAAGCAAGGAGAGATGCAGATACATTAATCTGATACGTCAGGTGGATTGAAGTATGGAGAGATGGAAGGCAGAGACCAGAGTGGAGACTAGCCAAGTGGGGGGCCAAGGCTTCTGCAGGCGGTGAAGCCTGGTGGCTGCTTGATTGTGGAGGGGGAAAGATTTCTAGCAGGAGGATGGTGGGGATGTCAAATAGGCCAATGGGTACTGAGGCCTGGAGTGCAGGGAGGTGGTTCAGCTGGAGACACTGACTCAGGGCTCCTCAGTCTATGGGTGGAAGTTGAAGGAGCCTCCTCAACTGCTCTCTTTTCTCTCTGAAGTAGTGTTTCTCTAAGTCCACAAGCTTGGGCTGCTCAGTCCTCTGTACCCCCTACAGCCTCGTGTCTGGTATGTGAGGTGATGCCTGAGGCTTCTGCTTCTTTGGGGGTAGCTCTTGTGTTCCTTTCATTTTTCAGCTTTATTAAAGTGTAATTGACAAACAATTGTATATACTTAAGCTGTACAACATGTTTGGATATAGTATACGTTGTGAAATGATCAACACAATCAAGCTAATTAACATATCTATCACCTCACAAAGTAGCCTCATAGCAAATTTCAAGTATACAGTATTATTTTTTTTAAATAAGATTTACTTATGGGCGCCTGGGTGGCTCAGATGGTTAAGCGTCTGCCTTCGGCTCAGGTCATGATCCCGGGGTCCTGGGATCGAGTCCCACATCGGGCTCCTGGCTCAGCGGGGAGCCTGCTTCTCCCTCTGACCCTCTCCCCTCTCATGCTGTTTCTCTCTCGCTCGCTCTCTAAAAAATAAATAAAATCTTTTAAAAAAAAAATAAGATTTACTTATTAGAGAAGGAGAGAGCGTGAGCAGGGATGGGGCAGAAGGGGAGGTAGAGGGAGAGGGATAAGCAGACTCCACACTGAGTGCTGAGCCTGACACTGGGCTCAATCCCAGGACCTGGAGACCAGGACCCCAGCCGAATACCAGATTCGGACGCTTAACGGACAAGCCACCCAGGTGCCCCGACAGTACAGTGTTGTTAACTACGGTCATTTTGCTGTGCATTAGATCTCCAGAACTTAACTCATATTGCATAACTGAAACTCTGTACCCTTTGACCTACCCGTTTCCCTCACTCCCAGCCCCTGGCAACCACCATTCTGCTTTGTGGTAGCTCTTATCTTTCTGCTGTTTCCAGCTGTGTCTACGTGCACTGCATCACCCCCCAGATCGGGAGGCACCTCTCTGTTGTGTCACGAAGCCCACTGACACTACACTGTTCTCCTTTCTGAGCTGCTCTTTGCCTCCTTCATCGCAAGACCCTGCTTTCTCCCTGCTTTCATTCCTAAGGGTGATCTTAGGTCTCTTGAATCCCCTCAAGTACCTTGGAATGGCCGTGTGATCAGTGGTCTCATTGGACACATCTTTCTGGTCTTGCTGCCTTCCTGAACCATATTGCTCAAAGCCACACGGGGCAGGGCAGGCCTCACCCCAAACGCCATGTGTCTTCATTCAGCTCTTACTTGTTCCGAGTCTCCAAAGAAAGCCATTTCGGAATTGCTAACCCATACCCCTGTGAACTTTTGTGAGATAAAAATTTGTATCTGTTAACAAAAATACTTAACGTGTCTTACTGATGATAGTATAAATTGTTACTCCCTATAGGAAAGCAATTTGGGATGGAAATTGCAAGAGCCATAAAAAAAAGTGCTATCCTGTGTATCTCCATTCCGTACACCCTCAGGGATGTACCCTACAGAAATAATTTTTAAAGAGAAGTCACTGTATGAGAGGAAATGTTATTGCTATAATAATTGTTATTGTGAGAAATTAGGGGAAAGATTTATGCGATCTGAAGAGAAACCAGAGTGTTGTTATTGTGAGAAATTAGAAATAAGCTAAATTCTTAGCAGTATGGGAATAGTTAATGAAATTACAGTATATATACTCTATAAAACCATTATGCTCCCATTAAAATAATAAATATGAAGCCACATGGGGGAAAAACTTAAATTGTTACTGGAAATAAGACGGATTTAAAAAGTAGCAGTGTTTGGCTCCTTAGAGATTCCATTTCAGTAGAACCAGAATTTCATCTCTCCCCTTGAAGCTGTGACAGGTGTTCCACCTGCTTCTCCTTTTCCATGAGCTGAGTTGGAAGCTAACCCACTTTCCTGGCAGCACCTGTGTGGGTTTCTGCCCCAGCCCTCTGGATCTACTCGTTGAACACCAGATTAGTTTGTCTTTCTCTTCCATGTTGGCTCACATGGGAAACCAACCAGCCAGGGAACAAGACATGAAAGACAGGCCTCTTCTGCATCATAACCCATGCATCCTGCAATTTTACTTGGTTTTATCGTGGCAGCATGTTCCCAAACTAAACAGCACAAGTGGGTTTGTCTTAATTTAGTCTAGAGATAAGGTCATGAGGAGTCATCAGCTTGAGTCTCAAAAGAGGAAGACAATATAATGCGGGGGAAGGTACGGTAGAATCAGAATCCATGTTTCATACCCTGGCTTTCCTACGTATTAGCTGTGTGACTTTATGTTAGGGACTTGACCTTTCTGAACCTTTTTCCTCATCTGTAAAAATGGGAACTTTTGGACAGATCATGCTCATGGAGTTGGGTGAAGTAAAACATATAAATGATCTAATATAAAAATTGTGCAGAGTAAGTATGATCATTGTTGTTCCTGCAGTTGATACTATTAAGCTAGGCTGGAAACATGGACTCTGGATTCAGACTAGTCTGACTTTGAGTCTCAGCTCCATGTCCTGTTAACATTATGACTCAGCCTTGGTTAAAATCATACTTTAAAAAAAAATTTTTTTTTAAGATTTTATTTATTTGAGAGAGAGAGAGAACACAAGAGGGGGGAGGGTCAGAGGGAAAAGCAGACACCCTGCTGAGCAGGGAGCCTGGCGTGGGACTGTATCCTGGGACTCCAGGATCATGACCTGAGCCAAAGGCAGTCACTTAATGGACTGAGCCACCCTGGGGCCCCCATACTTTTTTTTTTTTCCAACCTCGATATTCTTATCTATAAAATGGGAACAGTGTTATCTACCTCACATAAAAAGGTTAGATTTTGTAAATCATATAAGACTTAGGATCTAGACTGAGTTGGTGTTTATTGATTGTACTTTCTCGTTGGAATGGCAGACACTGTTGGACAGTAGAAGCAATGACCACTTTTGGGAACAGCAGTTGGATGGCTTAGACTGGACTGCCAAAGATATCCTGGCATTTCTGGCCAAGCACCCAGAGGATGTCCAGTCTGCTAACGGCTCTGTGTACACCTGGAGAGAAGCTTTCAATGAGACTGACCAGGCAATCCAGACCATCTCTCGCTTCATGGAGGTGAGGATCTGTTCCATGGATCATTTAGAAGAGCCTTTGGCTTCTTTCTCTGAGGTGGTGCAATAAGGTTTGGATTGGAGGAAAGTTTAGAAATAATGTGTAGTCTTATTTCCAGTAGTATCCTTCAAACCTAACATAGGGTTTGGTGTACAGAAGGCACTCCTAAATGTTAGTTGAATGACTGAAAGAATGAATAAATGGACCTAACTCTAGCTTTATTCTCTCTGAGAAGTGTTTCTGTCCATTGTCTTCTAGGTTTTCCCCAGGTTTCATAGCTCAATACCTAATGTCAAGAAAGCATGCCCTTAAAAAGGCTCTATTTATGAAGTTTATCTAAGAACTAATAGGACACATTATATTTTAAAAATCTAGTTTTAAAAATTATGTGACTTAATAGGGACAAATAAGCGTTTTTTGTTTGTTTGTTTTGTCTGCTTACTTGGTTAGTTGATACTCAAAATTGCCAAGAAAACAGAGGAAAAGGAGGTATGATTCTTGTTTCAACCTCTTTCCCGCCACAAAAATCCATATAAGTAACTTATCTCTAAATACTTCTAGCATTTCTCTTAAGTTGTAGTTAAAAAACAAAAGGATCCATTCTCAATCGAATATTGGAAAATGACTTTGGAGAGGGTGAGGATAAAAATGTCACGCAGTTAGCACATCCCTCTTAGGACAGAGCCTGCCTTGGGCACTGCGTGTTTTCCTGGCCCCCAGCGTTCTCATGAAGGCTCTTCTTCCGTCAGTGTGTCAACTTGAATAAGCTCGAACCGGTAGCAACAGAAGTCCGGCTCATCAGCAAGTCCATGGAGTTGCTGGACGAGCGGAAGTTCTGGGCCGGTATCGTGTTCACCGGAATCACTCCTGACAGTGTGGAGTTGCCCCGTCATGTCAAGTACAAGATCCGAATGGACATTGACAATGTGGAGAGGACAAATAAAATCAAGGATGGGTGAGTTCAGTCTCCCCATACCAGACAGTTTGGGGGAAGTCAAGAGCAGCTAAAATGACTAGAGGCACTTTGTTTTAAGTAATAATTTGGTAGAAATTTCACCCCAAAATAACTCCAATTGGTGGCATGATTTTGGTGAAAGTGGCACATTCATTGCTAGAGACAGTTATTTCAAAGGTCATAAAATAATCATCTTTTGACTCAGCATTTCCGCTCAAGAGAATTAATCCTGTGGCATTAAATCAACAGGTAGATAAGAAGAAATAAAGCCTTCAGGTTCCCTGTGCTAGCATTATCCATTTTTACAAAAAGGGGCAAACAGCTAGTAAAAAAGGGAATGATTAAGCAAATTTTGGTATGTCCACTTGATGCAATGTTAGGTAGCCAAGGAAGGGGAAAAAAACCAAACCAACATTCTGGTGGTGGTATGCTCATTCTCATTATATCTGTTTAAAAATATGTGATTTCACTCATATGTGGAATATGAGAAATAGCGCAGAGGATCATTGGGGAAGGGAGGGAAAGCTGAATGGGAAGTCATCAGAGAGGGAGATAAACCAGGAGAGACTCTTAACTATAGGGAACAAACTGAGGGTCGCTAGAGGGAAGGGAGGTGGGGGGATGGGGTAATTGGGTGATGGGCATTAGGGAGGGCACATGGTGTAGTGAGCACTGGGTGTTATATGCAAGTGATGAATCATTGAACTCTACATCTGAAACTAATGATGTACTGTATGTTGGCTAATTGAATTTAAATTAAATAAATAAATAAATAAATAAAAAAAAATATGTGCACAACTGAGACCATAAAATAAGATAAAAATATATAAGATGAAAATAGGGGCTCTGTCATGGTGGTGGGGTTGTGGGTGATTGGCTTTTTTTGATGTATGGTTCTCAGGAATATTTAGTCACCTGTGGTTTGGTTTTAGGTACTGGGACCCCGGTCCTCGGGCTGACCCCTTTGAGGATATGCGGTATGTCTGGGGGGGCTTTGCCTACTTACAAGATGTGGTGGAACAGGCGATCATCAGGGTGCTGACGGGCACCGAGAAGAAAACTGGTGTCTATGTGCAGCAGATGCCCTACCCCTGTTATGTCGATGACATGTAAGTTACCACTGAGCCGCCATCTTCACGGAACTGGGTAACACTGTTCCCAGAGAGAGTACCTACACATACATACTTATACACACATGCGTGCACATACATCCAAAGGAGGAGATAGGATGCTTTGATTTTATGTATTTTACATGTGTGTTGATAGAAAAAAATCTTTTTTGAAATTCAGTGAAGATTTTAGGAAATAAGATGCCAGGTGTAGGTCATTGATGGTTCCAGCCACATGGACATACATGTGCACATCCTGGAATCCTCCCTCCTTTTTCATCTGCAGTTACCAGTGCTTCTATTTTTTTACATATCCTGCCCTTTTGGTCAAAGTTTGCTTAGTCTGCAAATTTCAAATGTGTCATGACAAACACATGCAAGCACATACACGCACATACATCCCCCAAACACAGAAACAGTGATCTAGACCTATAAAAGCTGCCTCCAGGTCCGTTTGTCCACTGACTCTTTATATGTGGTAAACTGCATTTTGAAACAATCTAAATAAAACTGAACAAGGCCTTTTTATCTTGGACTTCAGATAATCTTTCAGTGCTTAGTCACTAAGCTGACAAGATCTTGTTGTGGAAACTGTGTTTTTGGATCTAATGATTTTTTTTGAGAGAGAGACAGAGAGAGCGGGGGAGGGGGGAGGAGGGGCAGAGGGAGAGAGAGAATCTTAAGTAGGCTCCACCTGGGTGTGGGGGCTTGATCTCATGACCCTGAGATCACGACCTGAGCCGAAACCAAGAGTCAGGTGCTGAACTGACTGAGCCACCCAGGCGCCCCTCTAATGATTTCTTGTGAGCGAGCATGGGCAGAGGTGTAGTTGCAGGCATCTGAGATATGTAATGTCTCTTCCAAATTCTGGAAATTCTCTCATTCTCCATTGTGGTGTATGTGTGTAGGGATCAGAGTGTAGAAGGAGTGGGGTTCCTCTTATATTTGTTCTATGTTTTGCACTGAGCAGCTGTTTCCTTGCGTGGCTCACTCTGGCTTTTCCAAGTCACCCTGAATTATCTTGTTTTTTACCTTCAAAAAGATTAGCCAGAGTTTTCCCAAGACCCCCCTCAGCCAAGATTTACTCTAGAAAGGATGTCTTAAGATGAGAACAGGAGGGAGCTTAGCGGCATTAAGGGCCTCTGCCTGTTGTCACATGGCTGGTAGGTGCCTAAGTAGTAAAGCTGGGACTTGGGCCTGGGCTCCAGGGTCCAAATTCTGTGTCCTTTTTACTTCACGGCCCACTGCCTTTCCTATTCCAGTTTGGAATCTGAAATACAACTGACAAGAGCTGCCTGAAGTCTATATCTGCATTATCTGTGATAAAAGTTGAACAAGGCAGTAGGGACATGACCTTGGAGAAGTTGAACTCTTGTGAGAGAAGGAGTTGGTTTTCTCGTTTTTGTTTTAGTACTTTAAAATAACCCACACCTCACAGTTACCTAGTGACTAAAGCAGGCCCCAAAGAAATTCTACGTGGTGGCACTTTGTTGGTCTAACTGTTAATACTACATTGTGCTCCTCATGAAGCATTTGATAACCTGTACGTTTTGGAGTCTGGAGAGCCTGCCCCTCGTTCACTCAGTCTTGGGGCTTCCTCTCGCACGCAGGCCCCGGAGGCAGTGGCCTCCGAGCCTGAATCTCACTCCCTGTAATTCTCCTCTGCCCTTCCCTGGGCCTCCAGCTTCCTGCGGGTGATGAGCCGGTCCATGCCCCTGTTCATGACGCTGGCCTGGATCTACTCCGTGGCTGTGATCATCAAGGGCATCGTGTATGAGAAGGAGGCGCGGCTGAAGGAAACCATGCGCATCATGGGCCTGGACAACGGCATCCTGTGGTTCAGCTGGTTCATCAGTAGCCTCATTCCTCTGCTCGTGAGCGCCGGCCTGCTTGTGGTCATCCTGAAAGTAAGGCTGCCACCCTGGCTCCCTGCTGCCCAGGGACTCCTAAACAGCCCAACACAGGCTATGAGGAGAAAAGCAAAGATTATTTGGGAGGGAACAGGTCAGACGTGTCCTCTCCTGCAGTTTCCTTATTCTGTATTTGGGGAGAGTGAGAGTGACTTGCTCAGGGTCAACCCAGTTGGCTAGCGGCTGAGCAGGGCTAGAACCCAGGGCTCTTGCTTCCCATGTAGGCACACACGTGTGCCATGACATTTTCTGGGCAGTGGTTTGTGGCAGCATCTGAGAGCTGTTCATTTCCTTAGATGTATTGGGTGGTGATTCTGCCAGAATTTCTAAAAACCATAATCAGAGGGATACATATTATTGCAGGTTAGGTTTTTCTGGCAGCAGAGGCTGAGAGAGTTTGGTGCGGGGCTTATTACTCAGGATCAACATCTGTGGAAGGGGTGGGGAATGCGGAGGTTTGAGCATGGGAAGGAGCTGTGAGATGCAGTGCACGGCCAACCCCACGGGCACTTGGGACCATATACAGCTCACCGGAATTGTGCCTCATTGAGCTGAGCTGTCCAGCCCCAAGGCCTCCCTCCCTGACACCCTAGATCCCGGGCCCCTCAGTCAGTTATTGGAATCATGAGCCCCCGGGCCAGTCAGCTTTCTGTGGCTGTGACAGACCCAGAGGAGGTTGACATCTAGAGGTTGTCTGCTGCGGCAGCTGGGCAGCACGTTCCGCCTTCAGGGGGACCCCAGGCAGTGCTGTTCTGTGCTACCCTATATGTTAATAGGTTTATATGCTAATCTCCTTTCCTTACAGTGATTTGTTTTAAGGAGGCATCATGTAAAAAAATATTTTCAAAGAGAGGGGAGTATGAAGGGTGAGGAACTAATATTTAGGTTAATACTAGCTACTGTTAATACAAATGAGCACTTGCTGGTTGCCAAGCACTGTTTAAAGCACATTCACCTGTGCTTTCTGATTATATCCTCACTAACCCATTTAACATATAAGGAAATGAGGCCAAGGAAGGTTAAGGGCTTCCCCGAGGTCACCCAGCAGTATGACAGAGTGAGTCTCGCTGAAATCAACCCCTGCTCATGCTCTGATATCTGACTGCAAGGGTGGAGCTCCCTGGTAGGGGTGGTGGTCCTGTGGCTGGCGGGGAAGAGCTGCTCTGCGACCACGTGCTGGCTAGTTCTCCTCAAACACACCCAGATGAACTGGCTAGAGATAGACTTGAAAGGCCCACAAGAATTTGGATGATTGTGAGAATGCAGAATCCATGGCAGGTCATCAAGGGGGAGAATAAGATTTCTTGGCCCTTTTCTATGACCTTTGGAGGGAGAAGTCCTATAGGATGCTGTCGCCCACAATTCTTTCTTGGTGCTGAGAGTCCTGGTCCTTATAAAAGGAGACACCAGGTAAACAATATTTCTTGGAGAACCAAAGAACAGAATTGTCCATTGAGTTGAACCTTGATGAATTTCAGTCCCAGACTCTTCTCTTCCTGCCTCCACTCTTACTAGGCTGTGTGGTCTCGGGGTAGTCGTTATCCTTACTTAGGCTTCAGTTTCCTGATCAGAACAATGAGCTGCACTGCTCCTCCCTATTATCTCTCAGATGAGTATGAATAAACTCTTCTTCCCATAGATCATGCGAGGACGTGTGTGCTTGTTGAGACAGCACGTTTAATAGGTCTCTTCCTTCCCAGTTAGGAAACCTGCTGCCCTACAGTGACCCCAGCGTGGTGTTTGTCTTTCTGTCCATGTTCGCCGTGGTGACCATCCTGCAGTGTTTCCTGATCAGCACACTCTTCTCAAGAGCCAACCTGGCGGCAGCCTGTGGGGGCATCATCTACTTCATTCTCTACCTGCCCTACGTGCTGTGCGTGGCATGGCAAGACTATGTGGGCTTCACGCTCAAGATCTTCGTGGTGAGGAACCACCCCTGCGTAGTAACTGCACGCACAGCAGCCCCTGGCGCTTCACCTCCCCTTGCAGTCCAAGCCGAGAATGGGAAATGAGTGTGTGTGTCTGTGTGTGGGGGTGCAGGATTGCTGAGCCTTTGGGGCATCTTTGGAAGCATAAAATTCTAAAAGTTTTACACTCTGTCATGCATGCATTTCTGAAATGTGTGTGCATAATGAGGGGTTATAAATAGAATCCTTTTCTGTGCTGCTAGTGAGCCCACTCCCCTCAAGGGATCTGTAGGTGAATACTTCCATATCTTGTAATTGATCCATTTTGCAAATTCAAATTTCTCTAGGTGAAATTTATATTAGAAGTGCCAGAAAATGAGAGACTAGGAGATGGATAAGATGGATAAGTGACTTTTGCCTCTTTCTCACAGAGCCTGCTGTCTCCTGTGGCTTTCGGGTTTGGCTGTGAGTACTTTGCCCTTTTTGAGGAGCAGGGCATTGGGGTGCAGTGGGACAACCTGTTTGAGAGCCCCGTGGAGGAAGATGGCTTCAACCTCACCATTTCAGTCTCCATGATGCTGTTCGACACCTTCCTCTATGGAGTGATGACGTGGTACATCGAGGCTGTCTTTCCAGGTACATGGGGCTTCCACACAGCTTTAGCCATCGGCTGGGGAAAATGTAATTTCTAGCTGCCAAGCTCTGCCCGGTCTGTGGTGGAATTTCTGTAGGGCCTGGGGCTCCCCAGAAAGTGGCTAGGGCTTTAGACCCACGGCAAGCCAACAGTCCGAGGAGAAGCAGCTGATGCTGAAAGTATTACTGCTCCAGCTCTCATTTCCTGAGCCCTGTGTGCCGTGCTGTATCAAGTGTTGTGTAGACTTGGGGACTTGCTCTTAGACCCACTTTTTTGCAAATGAGAGAAGCAGGACTCAAGTAACTTGCCTGTGGACACACAGCTGGTCAGTGTTGGTGCTTGGGGGTGAACCCAATTGGGTCACACTGGGTCAGCTAGTCTAGAGGGTTCCTCCTTCCAACGCTGGCCCAATTCTCTAATTCCGTATCCCCAGAATGAGCCACTGGCAGAGGTTCTGTTTCCTGAGTACAGCTTGTAAAGAGTAAGATATGTTGGCTCTAAGCCCTTACCTGTGATTTAATCAAACTAACATTCATGAAAATTCATTTTAGTACTTCCCTTAAATAAATCTCCTTGACCAAGACCTGCCGTGGATACGTGTTTATACAGATCAAATTCTAAGAGAGTGAGGTTTAACTTTTTCTGCTTCCCCTGGTTTTCCTCTAAGGGAGTGTATGTGGAATGTTTATTACCTCTACTTGAGCTTCCTGCATTGATAGGCAATTTTGTATCCTACAGATCTGGGTTCAGATTCTGAGTCCTTCCATTTACTGTCTGAGTGACCTCAGTAGGCTACTTACCCTCAGTTTCCTCATCTATAAAATGAGTGGCTGATAACCTGCCTCGTGGGGTTGTTTGAATGCATAGTAGGTGTCAGCAGATGTGAGCTCCTACTACCCCACCTCCATCCCAGGGTGGTGTCACCTCCAGATGCTGTGTCAAGGAGGGAGTAGTTCTGGCTGGGATACCTCGGGAATGCTAGGATGTTGCTGTGCTTGGCTTCCATCTTGGTTTTTATCTTCGCTTGCAGGCCAGTATGGAATCCCCAGGCCCTGGTATTTTCCTTGCACCAAATCCTACTGGTTCGGTGAGGAAAGTGATGAAAAGAGCCACCCTGGTTCCAGCCAGAAGGGAGCATCAGAAAGTAAGTGCTGTCGACCTGCCCTTCCCTTAGCCTAAGTGCTGTTGCCCCCACTGACTGTCAGGGACAAAGGATGGCTTTAGCCCTTTAGAGAGTCTGAAACCACTCTAGGAGCAAAGAAATCACACACAATGCATCTTTCCAAATTCTCCCATGCCATTCGTGTCCAGTGCTATTGTTGACTTATCGGGGAGTCACTCTCTTGGTCCCTGAGGGCCATTGCCTTTGTTTTCTTGGCTTCTAGGAAAGAGGCCCTTGATATCTATACATTCACCCTCCCCCCCCCAACACACACTCTTTATGATAAATTAACAGCTAGGAAGAGGGGGTAAAGACAACTGTGATTGAAGAACCATAACCTTGCTGCCCGTCTTGTCATAGTGATGGAAATATGAGCCTGTGTAGGCTGCCACTAAGTGGCTGTCAGAGCTCAGCCTGTGCTTCTTGATGTTCTCACCCTTCATTATCCAGAGCCCTAATCCTCTCCTGGCTCCTGACTGTAGGTGGAGGTGCCCACAGTTTAGCAAAGGCTCTGCCTTCTGGGCCGTTTGCTCTGGTTCTTGGAGAGAAACTGTTTTTGTGTTCAGTGTGGCTTCCTAAGTACTCAATGAGTCCCTTTCCTGCTGGTCTCTTCTGTGCCTTCACCTGGTTGCCAGTGGAAAAGTCTGCTGTTCCTTAGGCATACTGGACAACCTACAGCCGGCCCTTGCCCACTGTCCCAGCCTCTTCTCCTGCTCTTCCTGCTCTGCTTGCCCAGTCTCCTCTTTACACCGAGCTTCTGTGTCAGTCTCCTAGAACACGTTCTGTTCTTCCACACCCCCGTGCCTTTGTACGTACTCTGTCCTCTCACAGGAGAGCTCTTTCTCCAACTTGCCTGCCTTCCTCCTCCTTCCCCAAGATCTAATTCTGTACCTCATCCCTGAGTAGTCCTTCTAGATTCCCAAGTAGTCAGTCAGTTCCTCCTCTAAGATTGCATGGCATTGAAAAACAAACAAAAGGCTTTTCTATTTAAAATAATTGTAGACTCATGGATGTTGCAAAAAAAAATAGTATTGGGAGGTTTCCCTTGTGCCTTTCATTTCCATTTCCCCCGATGGTAACACCTTGCATACTACAGCACAATATCAAAACCATGACATTGACACGGTATAATGTGTAGACCTTCTTCAGATTGTAGAGTTTTACATGTACTCATTCATGTGTGTGTGTTTAGTTCTGTGCACTTTGTCACATGGAGATTCATGTAATCACCAGCTCAGTCGAGATGCAGAACTGTTCCATCCACACAGACTCCCTCATTCTGCCCCTTTAAAGCCACCCCCCTTCCTCCCCAGTCCCTGATACCTGTCAGCCACTACTCTGTTCTCCACATGGTATTTCCAGAATGTGATATGAATGGAACCATATAGTATGGAACATTTTGAGGTTGGCTTTTTGTCACTCAGCATTATTCCCTTGAGATCCATCCAAGCTGTGATGCATATCAACAGTTCACTCCTTTCCATTGCTGAGTCGTGTTCCATGGGCTGGGTATTCCACAGTTCTACGGCATTTTTAGATGTGTTTTTTAAACCGCTTTTCGCCTCCTGTATTTTGATTCCTTGTCAAGTCTTTTTCTCCCAATAGACTGTGAATGCTCCTTTATCAGTGAATTCCCATCACCAACACTCCTGCCCAAACAGGCCCTAAATAAATGTCTGCCTGAGAAACCAGAAGTATGCATGGAGAGAGGACAGCTGTGGGAGTACGAGCCCAGCCGCCATGTCTTTGTGCCCCACTCGTCGGTATTTGCTGTGGTTCATGCCCATCCTCTGTCTTCTGTCTCCTGACAGTCTGCGTGGAGGAGGAGCCCACACACCTGAAGCTGGGTGTGTCCATTCAGAACCTGATGAAGGTTTACCGGGATGGCATGAAGGTGGCTGTTGATGGCCTGGCCTTGAATTTCTATGAGGGCCAGATCACCTCCTTCCTGGGCCACAATGGAGCTGGGAAGACCACCACCATGTAAGAAGAGGGTGTGGCTGCCAGAATCAGCTGCGGGCAGGTTCCGTAGCGCAGTTAGAAGTCAGGATGCAAGGGCATTGCGTTGGTCACGGGAGCAAGGGCAGCGCCGGGGAGGAGTTGACGAATGTAAGATGTTATCTCATCACAAGAGTGCTTTCCCCATGGCTGGTTTTGGCTAGATATCTCCTCGGCCTGAAAACAGCCTGGGAGCCCTCTTGGTGACCTTTCCCATTTGGTTCTCAGAATTCTGCACTGTTCCTGGAACCCTAAGGCTGTGATAGCTCCGAGAAAGGGTCTCCCTTTTGAGCTGGTTTGGTTAGAACTATGAAGCAAGAATGTGGGGAGATTGGATATGTTGGAGGGAAGTAGTGATTTCCAGGAGCTCTGTCGCTAAGGAGGTGTGAGACCTGGCCATGTGACTGCCCTTTCTGGGACCTGCAGGGACCTCTAAAGACGTTATAATGGGTGGCTTCACGAGGGAGAACGGGCCATACACGCCAGAGTTAGCCTCAGTGACTTTTATTTTTATTTATTTTTTTAAAGATTTTATTTATTTATTTGAGAGAGGGAGAATGAGAGACAGGGAGCATGAGAGGGACTTGTTTGCTTTGTAGGGGTCAGTTCGGGTCTGTTAGGAAGGAATGGGGGTATAGGGAGGTTGATGCCTCTGCTGCAGGTGCCTGGGCTCTGCGGCCTGGTGTGGAGCATTTCCAGGGGAATGGGGATAACACTGACTCTTGCACTTGTAAATTTTTGTCTTCAGGTCAATCCTGACCGGGTTGTTCCCTCCCACCTCGGGCACTGCCTACATCCTGGGAAAAGACATTCGCTTTGAGATGAGCACCATCCGGCAGAACCTGGGGGTCTGCCCCCAGCATAACGTGCTGTTTGACATGTGAGTACCAGCAGCACTTTGAGAAGCACACCCTCCCTGGATGTGTGTCATGAGTCATGGGCCGAGGGGGACTTAAGCATTCTGCCTTCTGTGGGGGTGGCGGGTCTCACCTCCCTGCACAGTGAGACCCAGTCGTCCTTCCATTTTAGGAAAAGTAGGAGGTGATTGTTGGGTGAGAGATGTCCCATCAGTCCAGCTGGTGGATGAGGGCGTGGGAAAAGGTGCTCTCCATTACTGACACTCTAGAGGGCGAGTTAGCCTGTCGGCTCTCCCATCACTCTCCTCCCTGGCACCAGCTGCAGCTCTTAGCCCAGAGTTGGCAGTGCCTCGGGGCCCTTGTCATGATGGCCCAGCATTTCCTGCTCAAGACATTGCTTCCATTCAGGTGGGCCTGTCAGCAGTTCAGGCCCCCCAGGGAGCCCTCGTGGGGGAACAGAGAAAGACCTGGGCTCTGTGACCTTGGGCAAGGGCTTCTCCCCTTCTGGACCCCTGTCTGCTCTTCCCTAGAGCGAGCAGCTCAGGCTCATGTCCTCCATAGGGGCCTCCCTTCTCGCACAGTCTGAGTTCCTGGAGGGGGCTCCTCCAGGTGAAAGCCGAGCCAGCTTCTTGGTCGATGGTCGATTATGGGGTGGGCCCTTTGAGGACCTGGATTGAAAGTTGCAACTGCCTGATGTATGGTGGCCAGGCCTGCTGGGAATAGGCTGGAAGGGACCAATCACATTTCAGCTTTGGCTTCTTCAGCATCTCCGGTGGTTGCTTACGGTTGTTCTGTCTTGATTCTTCCTGTTATTTTTCAGAAGTTGAGATAGTTAGAAAAGGTCGGGGTGGGGGCGGTGGAAACATGCCCATTTTCTTCTGTTGTGGGTCAGGAAGCACTGGGTTCTGATGCAGCCCGTGCAGGGCAGAGCTGACCTGCCCTTCTGTCCCCAGGCTGACTGTGGAAGAACACATCTGGTTCTATGCGCGGCTGAAGGGGCTCTCGGAGAAGCACGTGAAAGCAGAGCTGGAGCAGATGGCCTTGGATGTCGGTTTGCCACCCAGCAAACTGAAAAGCAAAACAAGTCAGCTGTCAGGTGAGTCCCTCTCCCCCCGCCCCCCAAACACACACGCACGAGAAACAACAGCTGTCCCAGTGTCCCAGTGTGGGGGTGGGGGGTAGGTCAGAAGTGTGTCCCTGGCTTGTCCCCAGGTGGGTGCCTCTGATTGTCTCTCAGCGCCTCTGCCTTCGCTGTCTGGGGCTGGTCCTGGAACGTCTCTCTCTCTCTCTCTCATAGGCGGAATGAAGAGAAAGCTGTCTGTGGCTTTGGCCTTTGTTGGGGGATCCAAGGTTGTCATTCTGGACGAGCCCACAGCCGGTGTGGACCCTTACTCCCGCAGGGGAATATGGGAGCTCCTGCTGAAATACCGACAAGGTAGCTTGTGTGTGTTTATTTCGAGGGAGGGAGGAATGCAGGGGCTCTTGAGACGTATGGCTGCAGCCGTGGCTCATGGCTGTTCTTGACAGAGCAGCAGAATTGCTTCTCAGGAATGTGCGACTTCTTTTCTTAGAGCTCTGTGCTCACCCGTGGTCTGGATGTGGAAGGAAGACCTGGCTTACAAGACACTTAACATGTATGCCCTTCATTATCTAGGGGCTGGCAAGAAGAGAAGTGGGGATAAAGGGCATGGTCCCCAGAGCTACTTCTAGCATAGAGCTTGGACATGTCTGTTACAACTGTATTCCCCTCTAGACCGATGGCTGAGAAGAGAGGATATGTCTTTGTTCATCTCTGTCCCCAGCATGGTACACAACATATGTTTGTTGAAAGCGGGGATGGGCAAATGAGGAACATGGACTTCGGAGCCAGTTCCAGCTGGCCCTGAGACCTTGGAAAAGTCATTTAACTTGTCTCCGTTTCTTTACCTACAATAACAGTAGTGCCTGCCTCATAGAAGCTTTAGTGAAATGAAAATGCATGCAGACCGCCTAGCACCCTGCCTGGCGTGTGGCAGATTCCCGAACGAATGTTCCTGTTCTGATTTCTGTGAGGATGGCTTTGCCACACAGGCTTCCAGATTCCTCTGCCTCGGTGACCCCTGCGGATAGATCTGTCGTTGCAGCTGCTTCAGTCACTGAGAACCAGGAGGCCTCACTCGTCCCGTGCCCTTGTGTTTGTGCCTGGCAGGCCGCACCATTATTCTCTCCACGCACCACATGGATGAAGCAGACATCCTGGGGGACAGGATTGCCATCATTTCCCATGGGAAGCTGTGCTGTGTGGGCTCCTCCCTATTTCTGAAGAACCAGCTGGGAACAGGCTACTACCTGACCCTGGTTAAGAAGGATGTGGAATCCTCCCTCAGTTCCTGCAGAAATAGCAGTAGCACTGTGTCGTACCTGAAGAAGGTGAGTCGTGTTTTCAGTGCTGGGCTGGCGCTGGGCTTGTTGGCTGGGAGTGGCTTGTCCACTGGCTTGTCCATGTCCACCCCACTCTGCCGCATGGAATCACATCATACTTCCTGTGTGGAAAGCGCAGGACACATCTGTTCCTACAGTGACAGTGTGGTTGGATCCCACTTCCTTCTTCCTGTGGAGGCACAGTGAGTGATAGAGAAGGTCCTTAGGGGACTTTATTAGAGTGAAGAAAAAAGACTCGCCAGGAGTGACGAGCCCGAGCTGCAGAATGCTCTGTCATTCCTGCTCATTCCCTTTGAATCTCATTGACCTTAACTTCTAAACTACAAAACAGCAAATATTTATTGAACACTGATTTCATGGCGGACACGCTAGCAGATTCTGGGCATAAAAGAAAATGACAGTACTAGTTAATTTTTTTGCAGCATCGTTATCATTTATAAACTTTTCTTTTTTTTTTTTTTTAACTTCCTTCATCTCGAAGTGCCGAACAACAGTGGGAGGGAGGTATTGTGATTATTATCTCAGTTTAGGGAAATGAGGCTTGTAGGCCAGCGAGCAGGTAAGTAACAGAGGTGGGACCAGAACCCGATAACCAGGTAGGTTTTCCTCTGTTCCACCGTACATGCCTGAGATCCATTTGTGTGCTGGAACCATGGCACCTGAAACATTTACATCCCAGCCTTCACCTCCCGTCTGCTTATCTACTTTTTAACTAGTGCCTGTTACTCCAAGTGTGGTCTGAGGACCAGCAGCACCGGGATTACTCGGGAGCTTGTTAGAAATGCAGAAACACGGGCCCAGCTCTCAGACTCACTAAATCAGAATCTGCATTTTAGCAGGGTCCCCTGGTGGCTCAACATAAGTCAAGGCTTGAGAGGCACCGAGCCAGATAACCAGGCAGGTGAATCCATGCTAGGAGGGTCAGTGGATGCCTGGCGACAGCGTTCGTCGCTGGCCCCCCTTCCGTTGTGGCTGTGCTCCCTGACCTCCTGTGCACACAGCACACGTGTGTCAGCGGCTTCTGAAGCCACGGCCGCCCCGTCAGTTGCCTCCCAGGAGGAGCCACGCAGTAGGGCCTCGTGGAAGCCCGCCCTGGCGAAGGTGCTGGTGGCTGTACCTTGCTCGGTCCCTGACCCATTCTCACCTCCTTCTTTGCCATCAGGAGGACAGTGTTTCTCAGAGCAGTTCTGATGCTGGCCTGGGCAGCGACCATGAAAGTGACACGCTGACCATCGGTAAGGACTCTGGGGTTTCTTATTCAGGTGGTGCCTGAGCTTCCCCCAGCTGGGCAGAGTGGAGGCAGAGGAGGAGAGGTGCAGAGGCTGGTGGCGCTGACTCAAGGTTTGCTGCTGGGCTGGGGCCGGGCGGGGGTGGGGGTGCTGGGAGAGGGTGCAGCTTGGTGGCAGATTGGCTTAACGCTTGCTGGGGGGCTCGGTGTGGGAGTTGGCAGGGCAGTGACCCCGAGAGGCTGACGTGATTGGGGGTGGGGCATCTCCGGGGAATGGATCTGGCTGGACACTGGAGACCAGGGTGAGGTACTGAGGGCCAAGCCATGGGGGAGGGATTGGATCTCAGTAGCTAAGGAGAGAGCGAGCCCAGGAGACGGAGAGCAGCCTGCTGGGTCCTCCTTTGCACAATATATAGGACAGCAGTGTCACCAGTAACACCTGTGGAGCAGAAGCCTTTACTGTGTCCATCGGTGGCCAGTCCTAACAGCTGTCTTTTTCCAGAGAAATGTCTTCCTCCACGAACCGTTTGATTAGCCCTTTATTGACATAAATAGAAGGAGCCTTGTTTACAGGTTAGGGAAGGGTGAAGAATCGTTTAATTCTCCATTGCTCAGGTCTTCCATTGAAGACTCCTGGAGTTCAGGCAATAGACACAGGCTTTCCACCTCTGAAAGTCCTCCACCCACCCACAATGTACTGAGAACCTACAGTGTTCCTGGCTTTGGTGAATAAGACCTAGTCCTTGCTCCCAGGAACTCTCAGGCCAGAGATGAACATGCGGAAAGACTTAAGTATTGGGGACGGGTGTCCTGCGTGGACACCTGGCTTCTGAGGGGTAGGCAAAGGGAGAAGGTGAGGCATGGCTGGCCCTTGATGTGGGGGGCCTCTGAGCCGCCTGAGCTGTCCTTGTGCTTTGGTCCCTACAGATGTCTCGGCCATCTCCAACCTCATCAGGAAGCACGTGGCTGAGGCCCGGCTAGTGGAAGACATTGGGCATGAACTGACTTACGTGCTGCCCTACGAAGCTGCCAAGGAGGGGGCCTTTGTGGAACTCTTCCATGAGATTGATGACCGGCTCTCAGACCTGGGCATCTCCAGTTACGGCATCTCGGAGACGACCCTGGAAGAAGTACGTTCAGTGACTGACTGTCCGAGTATAGCAGGTCCCACAGTCCCAAGGCCAGACAGGTAGCCTGCTTTTCCCCCAGGGGAATAGGATTACCATGGAGCTGGTCATTTGAGGCCTTATATCATTGATATTGGGGTATTACTGCCATAGTTAACCCTTTAAAGTGGTGGGAGATGGCAGTAGAGCTAGATTAGGATTGCTCCCTGACATGGCTGTGTCATGGCCACGCGTAGGAAATAGCCAACATTTATGGAAAATCTGCATGTGCCTCGTGCTGACCTGGGTGTGTGGGGGTTTTTTGCTGTTTTTTGTTTGTTTGTTTTAATTATTGTAGGGGTGCCTGGGTGACTTAGTCGGTTAAGTGTCCGACTCTTGATTTCAGCTCAGGTCATGATCTCAGGGTCGTGAGATCGAGCCCTGTGTCAGGCTCTGTGCTCAGCGCGGAGTCTGCTTGGGATTCTCTCTGTCTCTCTCCTTCTTCCCCTCCCCCCCATTCATGCACACTCTCTCTCTTTAAATAAATAAAATCTTTGAAAAAAAAATCATTGTAACTTAATATTATCCCTATAATAAGATGAAAAGGTGGGCACTCAGGAATGCCGAGCTAGGATTCAGCATCGAGGGTTTGGGCTACAAAGCCCATGCTCTCTCTACTGTGTAGCAGCACCTGCCTTTAGAGACCACAGCATCATAGACCTGGAGGGCTGGGAAGGATACAAAAGTTGTCTGGCCCAGTGGTCCCCAAGCTTGACCAGGCAGAGAAATCATCTGGGGATATTACTGACAATAAAAATTCCAAGCCTCGGCGCCAGGGTCTTTGAATGAGAATTTCTGGAGGTAAGACCTTAATGTCTGTGCTTTTATTACATGCTTTCCAGGCTGTGGTCTGTAGTTCAGAGTTTAGAAATCATTGGCTAGTTCACATTGTCTTACGATGTTTGAATCCCTGATATAATATTTCTAGTAATGGGGAGCCCATCATCTTTTGATCATTCTGTCTTGGATGACTTAGCATGGTGCTAGCCTACTCAAGAGATTTGGGGGCCATAGACCTGGAAGAAGCCACCTTACGTGTTCCCTGTAGATACAGAACACATTTCTTCTGTAGTGTTCTAATGTCAAACCTTTAATTTGAAAAAGATTGTCTGGATTGATAGTTCTCACTACCGGGGAAATGTTCTCTGGTTAAAAATGCCTTCACTCCCAAATGACTGGCAAAGTATTACTAATAATTGAAGCTTTTACTTTTTGTCTTTAGGGGCTAACAAGCCACTCAATAATGTAATAATCATGGCGGTGATGGTTGCTTTCATCACGTGATGCTTATACTATTCTCACTACCGTTTTTTCAGATATTTCTCAAAGTGGCCGAAGAGAGTGGGGTGGATGCTGAGACCTCAGGTAAGCCTCGGGGGGAGCTGTATGCTCTGGGAAGTGCCTCTGTAGGCCATCTTAGCTCACCAGTGTTATCCCTTTCCCTTTGACTTGAGGAGGGCTTGTTTTGTTACAAATAAAATAAAATGTGGAATTCCTTCCTTTTGTCTGCAGATGGCACCTTGCCAGCAAGACGAAACAGACGGGCCTTCGGGGACAAGCAGAGCTGCCTTCGCCCATTCACTGAAGATGATGCTACTGATCCTAATGATTCTGATGTAGACCCAGGTCTGTTTGGGCAAGATCTGTGTTCCATTGTTTGAAAGTGAATTTCTTGTCTTGTGTTACTCCCACGTTACCTTTTAACGGCCTTGAGCGTGGGATAATAGATGCCTACAGGGTCCAAAGGGTAGTGGGATGATGAAAAAAGCCACATTTGCTTTTCCAGCATTGGGCAAACCATCAAACCTGAAGGAGCCCATCCTCATCACTTTTTTCATTTAGTTGAGATCTTTCACTTGAGACACATATAAAAGGATGGTCCCTCAGTCCTCTGAATCCATTTTTATCGTTTCTGTGGAGACCCAGTTTCTTGCCTAGATAAGGTATTTAATTGTTGATGAATGATTTTGAAATAAGTCAGTTTTTAGAGCTAATTGTACCTTAGACTTAGATATTCTGGATGAGTGTGTCCCTCTGTGTTTGACTGGGATGGAGAATGGAAGACAAGAAGTCAAGCAAATCTTGGTAAAATGTGAAAGCGCCTCAGTTAGGAATCATTAGTTTAAGACAAGGATTTTTATACGATTTTGAGGTACAGAAACCTTTCTCCCAATCCTGCTCCTATGAGTGTGTGGCCCTCATGTTTTCCCTGATTTCAGACATTGTCTGTACTTAGATCATTTGAATGTGTCTATTTTTACCAAAATAATAGATGGTAGACAAATCAGCATTGTCTGTTCTCAATTATGTCAGCCTAAATGCATGGCCTGTCTCATAGAATATTTTATAAGAAATTGGGGATGACTTGGTTCATCTGAATGACTTGATGTACAACAGTTATGTGTGAATGCTTCTCTTCAGTTGTCTCAAGGCACCTTCATTTGGTGCACTCCTCACATGAGGACTGGAAGGCAGAAAGCTCTACTGTTGGACATCTGGGGTCCTAGCTTTTCCTGGGACATTGATTTGTCATGAAAGCCCTTGACTTCTGAGAGACTTTGGCTTTCAAACACAAGCCTCCAAGATGGTTGCTGAGGATGATGGAGGGCGGAGCGTGGTGAGGTCAAGACTGCCTCAGATACTAGGTGACCTTCAGTGTTGGCTTCTTGCAGAATCCAGAGAAACAGACCTGCTCAGTGGGATGGATGGCAAAGGCTCCTACCAGGTGAAGGGCTGGAAGCTCATACAGCAGCAGTTTGTGGCGCTTCTGTGGAAGAGGCTGCTGATTGCCAGACGGAGTCGGAAGGGATTCTTTGCTCAGGTGACAAGTGCTGCTCCAGGCCAGTGACTCTGGCTCCCCGGGTGGGCCGCAGGCTCCCTGACCAGTGCAGGCAGGAGAGGGTCATGGTTGTGAGGTGGATGCTGGAGCCAGACTTTCCGTATTTCAGTCCCAGTCGTGCTTCCTGCCGCTCACGCATCTGCGGGCGAGTTACTTCTCTGTGCCTCTGTGTCCTCATCTTTAGAATGAAGATAATGTGCCTATGACATAGGGTTGTTATGAGGATTAAAGTGAGTAAGTGCTTAGAATGGGGCCTGGCATTAAGTCCTGCTGTGCTCTGTGGGGGTGTGTGTGTGTGTGTGTGTGTGTGTGTGTGTGTGTGTGAGGTTTATGGTAGAGGACAGCGTAACAAGGACAGAGTTTAGGAAAATTGGCTGGGCAAATTCAGTTTTCATAAGCTGAGATGCACTTGACATATAAACTTCTTGGAAACATGACTTTTCTCTAAAGTGATGTTTAACTGCAAATTGACAGAAAGGTAGCCGGAGAGGTCAGAAAAAAATGGGCAAACCGAGAAGACTCCTTACACTGTTGCCTGCATGTCAGTGTTTGCATGCTAAGTTGCTTGGTCGGAAGGGATAAAATTATCCCGCTGTATAAAATCGAGAAGTATAGAGAAAGTGTCTGTAGAGATTCTTCCCTGCAGACTCTGTGGGTAATGCAGGGAGTATGAATTTGGAGCATGCAGACCTGGGTTGGAATTCTGGTTCTGCCACTTATTGGCTGTGTGACCTTGGGCAAGTTGCTTAGTCTTTCTGAGCTCAATTCCCTTGTTCGTTGATTGGTGATAGAGTTGTAACGATAATGAAATGAGATGATTGTCATAGAGTATTTTCCCATAAAGAAGGATTTGGGTGATGACGCGTTTTGAGGCCATCCCATGGTGACAGCGGACGCTGTCCCCTTTCAGAGCGTGGGGTCTGACTGGGTCACTTAGTCTTGGTCTGTAGATTACAAGTGAGAGGCCGCAGCGGGAGTGACTTCACATGGGTACACTTGTAGTAGAGACAGAACCAGGCTTCGGGTCTTCTGGCTCCTGGTGCAGGGCTTGTTCTCTCGGCCTTTCTCTGAGCTGAGCCGGGCTCATGGCTCATCGTGGTCTTTCTCAGGTCTCCGGTGGGAAGAGAGCAGGACCCAGAGTTCTGAGTCCCCCTGACATGTGACCACTGTTTACTCTGTGAAGTTTTGAGCTTCGTGCCACTGAGAGGTGTCCACAGCCTCTGGCCTTGTGCTGCCAGCCTCCAGAAATGCCCTGGAGGGAAGAGGTTTCGGTGGCAAGATCTGCTGCTTCTCACCTGCCATGAATGCCTTGGTGGAGCTCTGTTCTGGGTCCCGTGGTGCTCACTTGCGTGCTGGCTGGGCTGGGGAGGCTGGCTGGACTCTTAGGGGCTTGCCCCAGGCCCCTTTTTCTGTCACTTGGCCTTGTTTTGCCACTTCCTTTCCCCCTCTGTCCCCTGGTTACAGATCGTCCTACCAGCTGTGTTTGTCTGCATTGCCCTGGTGTTCAGCTTGATCGTGCCCCCCTTTGGCAAGTACCCCAGCCTGGAACTTCAGCCCTGGATGTACAACGAACAGTACACGTTCATCAGGTACGTGTTTGCTTTCTGTGCCCCTGGAGAGAAGAGAGCTCAGGCAGACTGAGGGTGTTGACGCTGCTGAGGGCCAAGGGCAGGTGGACTCGAGAATCACGCGGTGGAGTGGATTTTATCAGCTGTTCCAAAGCCCCGACACAGACTAGTATCGTATGCAAAGAACAGCAGGGAATTGAACCTCCACTGACAGACCCGTCCTCTTTTCCCAATTTTGAGCTCCTTTCTTTTTATCCTACAGTCATCAGGAACAGGCATCTGTGTTTTACGTAAATAATCTGCCCTTGCAAAACATCTATGAGGAAGCTATAGTATTTGGGCTTTTCATAGCTGTGTCTTAATTTTGTCGCTTCATCCCAGGGCTTCCGAACATGGGCACAGCATCATACCTCCAGGTTCTTGTTTGTCTGCACGGTACATTTCATGTGTTTATTACGTCACAGATAGGAGCGAGCGAGTGGTCTTTAGACACGGATGCCAGCTACTCTGTAACAATCCAGTGCTTCAAACAAAAGCACAAAGGAATTTCTCTACTTCCTTCCACAGAAGTTTTCTTCAGTCTTGTAGTATTTGTAGACCTTTAGATGGGGAGAAGCATCTCCGTGATGTAAAAGGGGAGCTTTAAAAGAAACGAAAACAAAAAATACATAAGTACGTGAATTGGTTCTTCCTTCTCTAGCCCCATGTTTCTTTCCTGTCTGGTTCAGGTTTCATGGAAAACTGAAAGTATTTTTGAAAAACTGATCCTTAATGAATTTCTGCACATTAAAATATGTGTAGAAATGTGCGTGGCTGTTTGTACATGTGCGCACACCCATTCATTATAGCCTACACAAGCTCAGAGGGCTGTCCCTTACCTTGATCCCAAATACGCAGTCAGTGTCAGCTCCTTTTGGGTAGGTTTTGTGTTTTATTCATTTCTGATAATGAGCGCCTGGCACATCGGAAGTGCCTAATAAAGTGTTCAGTTTAGAAAAACAATTCCACCTCCCAATTCCTGGTTTTAATGAATTGCTGAGCTGGCTGCTGTCATGTACCCACAGTAATGATGCTCCTGAGGACATGGGCACCCAGGAACTCTTGAATGCCCTCACCAGACACCCCGGCTTCGGGACCCGCTGTATGGAAGGAAATCCAATCCCGTAAGTGCCCCTTGAGCTATGAGACCCTTGACAGCTGGGTTGTCTTATGCTTGTCACCCGGGTTTGTTGTCTGCTCTATTACCTTTATCAGCTGTGATAGATGCCCCTCATTGCGACTAGTATCATTTGTCCTTTGAAGCATTTTTTATTTTTAAAAAGCTGATAGAGTAATCTAACCAGAATCTAGGAACAAACAGAGCCGACTAGGAGAGTTTTCTATCATCCTGCAGAGTAAAATCACTGCAGACATTTATTTACTGCTTTAGAGATTAATATTTAATTCAAATAGCACTTTGTACTGATCAAATGCTTTCCCCTTCTTCCTTTCTACCAGCTCCTGTACCTAAAAGCAGAGATAGGCTGCCATTATATATAATTTGCAGTTTGGCTTATCAGCTTCTTCACTTTACCAACCTGAAAAGATGTTCTATATTATTGTGTATAAAAATGGACTTTTTCTTCTTTTGGAGTTGCATATTTTTGTACTTCCCTTCAAAATCCTTTTTAAGGAAGTAGGTAGCGTATGGATAAATGCAGTGAAATACCTACGTGTCTCTAAGTGGGCATGGGGGGAGGTGTGTGTGGAGGTCTTTGTGCATAAAGACCATGAAGAGAGGTGAGTTTCCAAGTGAACCGAACCATGACCCACGGAGGTTCGAGGTTCCAGGCTCAGGTAGAATGAGGTTCTGGCTCAGTTACAGCGCAGACTCGGAGGAATTATGGAGAGTGTGGGAAGGCATAGGAAGATTGGAGAAGGACTAACTTGAATTCCAGGTTTTAAATGGAAGATACTAACTTTGCAAGTGACAGACCAGTGAGTCTGGTACCTGGGCATGCAAGGTTTCAGAGCAGATTTCTAGACAGATAGCTACCATGTCCTTGCCAGCTCTTACTACTGAATATTTACTAAGCATTTGCTGGTACTGACTGCTTCATGGGTGGTAAGCCCTAGCAGCCAATGTCCGTTCCTGAAGAACAAGATGACCGTTATGGAAAAGGACATGGAGACATCGTCTCTAGAGTCACAAGACTTTTGACAAACCTGCATGTTTTGTAGGTGAGGTAGAAGAATGAAATGAGGTGGATTTATTATACGCCCGCTGAGCGGTGTGGACTCAGAGAAGTGCCAACATGGGGGGAGCTGGGTCTGGGCTCAGGGCTAGCCTCCAGAGACAAAAGAGGTCCAGCCCTGCCGTCAGAGGATTCACAGTGTTGGGGCAGAGCACTGCTGCATGTGTGTGTGAGGGGTGGTGGGACGGAGGGGCCCCACTCTGGCAGCTTTTCCCAAATTCACATTCTAGGTTTTACCAAAAGGAGTAGAACTGAGGGAAGTTTGACTGGGACATTGACTGTGGCATTGAGCTTTGTCTCAGCCAATCATCTTGGGAAGGTTTTGGAGTGTGAGCCCCATGTCTTACTTTGACTTTTCCATCAAGTCACGGAGCTTTAGAGAGAACTAGAGAGCAGTCCACAAATCTCTTCCTTTGATATTTTTAGCACGTACAAGAATAACATAAAGAGTGTGGCTATGCATTGTAGAATTTTGCAACTGGAAGGGATGCTGGAAATGACTTGTTTAGCATGACATTATGTACTTTTATTTTACTGGTGGAGAAGATAAGACCCACGAGGGCAAGCATTGTGTTGATGGTCCACAGTGATTCAGAGCTCAAGTCAGGCATCAAGGCCTTGTGATGCTTGCAGACAACCTAGCTCTTCATGTACTGAGCACCCTCACCCCATCCCCTCCAAACTCCAATTCTGTACTCATTTTAAAGCATAAAGTGAATCTTGCCATCCTGCACCAGATTTACAGCACATTGAGCATAACATGCAGACTCCTTCCCAGGCCCTGGTCATCTGGCACCTGCCTCCCTCCACCCTCAACTCCCATCACTCTCCTCCCTACCTCATCCCATTCCAGCCACACCGTCCCCCTGCTGTTCCTCAAACATGGAAAGTTCACTTCTTCTGAGAGACTTTGTACCTACACTTTCTATTGCCTTTGCTTGTTATGTTCTTTCTCCCCAGATCTTTTCCTGACTCCTTTCTAATCATTTATGTCTTGGAAGAAGGCAGTAGTCCCTCTTCCCCCGATTCAATGTCCTCTTATTTTGCTTTATTTTTGGCTAAGTGACCTTTGCTTATTGCCAAATTCCTCTCCAGAAGGCAGGGACTTTGTCTTCTTCACCCCAGACTCTCAGATATGCAGAACAGTGTCTGGCACATAGTAGATGCTCAGTGAATATTCGCTGAGCGAACACAGGGGCAAGAGACCAAATGCCGGCAGATTGGATTGACTGGAGTTTGGTATATGAGCATTTAGGGCCTCTTTGTGTTCCTTCATCCTTAACTGTAAAGTGAGTTTGCAGCTTACAGGTCTGTGGGGAGATGAAACAAATGGTGAGGGGATGGATAGATGCATGTTTGTGGCTGTTATTGATTGGTCTGTGCTCCTGAGGCACCAGGAAAGGCCAGGTCCTCTTGGGTGATGCTGCCTTTGCTGCCCTCCCTTTGCAGAGACATGCCCTGCTCGGTGGGGGAGGAGGAGTGGACCACCGCCCCCGTTCCCCAGACCATCACGGACCTCTTCCAAAATGGGAACTGGACGATGGAGAACCCCTCACCTACCTGCCAGTGTAGCAGTGACAAAATCAAGAAGATGCTGCCCGTGTGTCCCCTGGGGGCAGGGGGGCTGCCTCCTCCACAAGTGAGTCACCCTCCGAGTGACTGAGCAGATGGCGGTGCAGGGGGGCTGGGAGCTTCTGCTTGGGAAGAAGGAATGGCTGACCTCTCCTGTCAGGGGGTTGTCTGATTCAGTCTTGATCTTAGTTCTTATCATAGGGAAAGGCCTGTGGGTTTTGAGGGGAAGGGACTTGGTCTACAAGTTCCTATGTCTTAGCTTGTTTGTCTACTTTGCAAAGTCAGCCTCGGTTACTTACTTGTTTGAGTTAAAACCAGATCACAACACTCTGGATCAGTGGGCCGTGCAAGGCACAGTCTGGCTTCTCCCACTGAGGTCATGTCACGGAATAGACTGGGACAGGCCCGGCTCCCTCCCTGGTTCTGCCAAGGATGAGCTGGTGACCTCAGACAGGCCACTCACCTCTGAATTAGGGAGGCTGGCCCATAAAACTTCTGCGGGTCTTAAGACTCTGACATTCTCTGAGGCTGTGCGTGTGGGGAGCAGTTCTGAGCCTTTTTTCTGAGAACAATTTCAGAAAGAGGCTTGCTTGTGATCTCCCTCTGTTGCTTTATCAGCATCTGGGTTGCAGGGTGAGGACAAGCAGTTGTAAATGGGTGTGAGAACTTGAAGAAGTCCTGGTTACTTCTCTTTAACAGAACAGTGAATCTATTCATCAGTATAACTCCAATGGACCGAAGAAGTCACTGGGCATAGTCAATGATACTGCTCCCTAAAAACCTTTTGACTATAAAGAATCATGTTCCACTGTCTATTGTTCAGTAGTTCAGAATAATTGCCTTGGGGACATCTTGGCTTGGCGTAAGTGAATGGCTGATGCTGAGGGCAGAAAGGACCAGGCCTCTGTGTTTGGCTGATGGCAGCACCTGGGCCCTGTGGGCAGGGTCTGGTCACACTGTGATCCACATTCAAGGGACATGTGTCACTGCAGTCCTTGATTTTTTTTTTTTTTCCTGTTTCAATTGTGGCGCATAAAGACACTTGCGCTTGTTTTTTTTCTGTGATGACAGAGAAAACAGAACACTGCAGACATCCTTCAGAACCTGACGGGAAGAAACATTTCGGATTATCTGGTGAAGACCTATGTGCAGATCATAGCCAAAAGGTCATTATTTACTAAACTTGGCCCTTGCTTTTTTCAGTCCTGATTAGGGGAATTACAGGTCTAAAAATAGCACACTGATGGGGAAAAATCCCAAATTTTGGCCTGATGTTGGCTTTTGGAAGTTTAGGGTATTCTCCCAACCTAGAAAAGATAAGTATTATGAACTTTAAGTTGTCAGCATCAAGGTAAGGCTGCCTGGTGTAATCACAGGGCTGTGCATTAGAAAAATTCTGGAGATCAGATGTACAGTATTATGATTATAGTTAACAATACTATATTACATACTCCAAAGATGTGAAGAAACTAAATCTTAAATATGCTTGCCACAAAAAAAAAGAGGTGATGATTTTAGGACATGATGGAGGTATCATGGTAATCATAATACCTAAATACATCAAATCAAACTGTTATACACCTTAAATTTACATCGTGTTCTATGTCAGTTGCATGTCAATAAAAAAATCTCGATTCAAATTTGAATTCTACTTACCATCTGCTTTACCAGGAGCAACGAGTTATCCTTTAAAAAGTCTTTGTTTGTAGAGTATGTGATCATACCATTGCTCTTATTATTTTGTTAGGAAGATTGAAGGACACTGATATATATAAAGTGCCTCTCGTGAATGGAACGTGTGATAATGTGGACAATATGTGGCATTATGGAGTCCAGGTGGCCTGACGTGGCTGTGGAGCCTTGGAACAGCCCCAAAGTTTCCAGGGCTATCGAGGCACAGCGTTGAATACTTGATGCCCAGGAAATGTTTGTTCTGGTGTCCTTTTGGCTTGTTGGGCTTTTCTGTTAGGTGTTCTCAGTGACTTTAAATGCTTGAATGATAATTACTGTCGAGTTTCCGAGAAAGAGGCATAACCTTTCCATGTCCTCTGTAGTTGACATATTACCTTGAATTCAGTAAGTCTTGGGGCACCTGGCTGGCTCAGTTTGTAGAGCATGCGACCCTTGATCTCAGAATCATGAGTTTAAGCCTCATGTTGGGTGTGGAACTTACTTAAAAAGAATAAAAAAAAAAAAAAGTTTTAGTTCAGTCACATCTTTGTCTATAAGGTGGTTTTTGAAGTGGTTTAATCCAAAGCATGATTTTCTTATAAATGACAAGGTTTTAAAATGGGGAGAAGGAAAGACCTGGTGACTGGGGTGTCCTTCTATGGGTACACCCCCCCGCAGCCTGATCACGGGATTCTTTCTGTCCTGGCTTGTCTCCTCAGGTAGACAGTAACTTCTTTTGTGTTATCAGGAATAGGATCAATGTTTTTTTGAACTGATTTTTGGTTTCTTTTTCTTTGGCTTCTGCAGTTTAAAGAACAAGATCTGGGTGAATGAGTTTAGGTAAGTTGATCTCTTTCTGTGCTCGCTTGTATTTTGTCTGGACTCCTGTAGTTCAGAAGGATGACTTTGATCCCGATATCTCAGATCCCAGGAAGTTGGGGTGTGGGGATTGTTTTGCCCTTGGTGTTTCTTCTCAGTGCTCAGCTCCCACTTCAGATGCCTTTGAAATGTTTGGCCTTCTGATCCCCTTGAGGAGATTCAGCAGTTTCTTGGAGGTCTCTAGGGATTTAACCGGGAAGCACAGTGTTGTGAGGGAAATACCTTATTCTATTTACATTTCCTCCCCACCAAATCAGATTCCCAAGGGGGTCCTGGGGACTCCGGGACAATTTTTCAGGCCTTTATAATGAGACCAAGAAGGTCTTAGATGAAATAAGAGGCATCAAAGCTATCTATTTTCACAGTATTTGAACTCCTTTATCTCTCTCAGTTTTGAAGGAACCAGGTGGCACTAGGGAAGAAAGGAATGAAAAACACTTGAAGCCAGTTTGTACTTCCTAGAGAATGAGATGCCTTATATGGCTGCCCCAAAACTTAGCTCTGTCACTGCAGCCCACCTTTCCTCTTTGCCTTTTTCACAAGGGCCAGCACCCATAGAACTCGGCACAGAGCAGATGCAGACTGGGACCCCTAAAGTGGCCTTCATGCTAGGAAAGAGCCATGGCCTGTCTCTAAGCCCTCCCTAGGCTGTTCTGGTCACTGTCCTCCCCTAACTCCCCGTCTGCTTGCCTTGACACCCAGAGACCCACGTGCAGGTGCAGGCCGGGACCACCAGGGTGGGAGGAGGAGCATCTGTGAGGCGAAAGACCCTTCTTTCTTCAGGGTCTCAGCCATCTCACGCTGTGTGTAATCACAGTGCAGCTTCTTCCCCCTTGGGCAGTAACCATAAGAGTTAAGAGCTTGCCAGAAGTCCTCAGAGGAGGCCAAGATGCAGCTTTCTCCAAGTCTAACTTTGGTCTTGCTTTGAATAAGCAATTCCCCTCCATGAAGCCTGCACACATTCATGTGACGTCTGCTGCTGAATGATACCGTGTACCACACTGTATTTTAATGTTAGGCTGTTCTTTTAGGTATGGAGGGTTTTCCCTGGGTGCCAGTAATTCTCATTCACTTCCTTCAAGTCAAGAAGTTAATAATGCCATCAAGCAAGTGAAGAAGCACTTGAAGCTGGCCAAGGTACGGTATCCATCCTAGGACATGTCAGAAAAATGGGCCCAGAGTTGCCACTCTGTGGGAGTGGTTGGCAGGTGCATTTAATCACCTTGCCACTTACTGTTTTGAAGACTTTGAATCCAAAGCCATTTTTGGCATCTACTGATCTTGTGCCGGCCAAGACTGAGCTACTCAGCAGATATTTAATATCTGAAAACATAGGTCAAAAAAAAATTTCAGAGGTTTAAAAGCTCTCAGAATAACTTCACTTCATGAAGTAAATAAACTGGGCTTCAAACCCACTTACCTGAAACAATCACTGGTTAAAAAGGAAATGAATCATTTCCTTTAAGCTGGTGGCAGGACCTTGGAGGCTGTCACTTCATTTCTCAGTATTTTGGGTTTCCCGTTATTTAAATGAGAATGAGAGCTCCGATGGCATGGATTTTAGGATGATGGGCATCCGCAGTAGTCCTAGAGTCTGTAACTCCGCTTTTGAGGCCCAGACCCCACATATCCGACGCATCTGCCCATGGAGCGTAGTTCTGGGTCTCAGGGGGACACCCAGGGGACTGCTTTGAAGAATGCTTACCACCCGGTTAAGCGAGACCTCTGCATCTTGGGACTTGAAGTCACACAGTGTCCCTCTGATTCTTTCAGAATGTGTGGTTTATGGCAACATGAATGCTTTAGATTTCTGGTCATCACTTATTTCTCGGGCGCCAGTCCTGCGTGGTTTCATATCTCACTCGGGTGAACAAGGCAGTAACGATGTGGCCCTTCATAGGATTGTCCTGTTGCCCTTCCCTTGTGAATCATCCCAACTGAGGCAGGTTACTGTTGTTCACAGGACAGTTCTGCAGATCGATTTCTCAGCAGCTTGGGGAGGTTCATGACAGGACTGGACACGAAAAATAACGTCAAGGTGAGGCCCTCTGTTCCAGTAGATTCTTGATGAACAATAATACTTAAGTACTTTCAGCTCATAACGTTGATAGGCGTATTCATGACAGAAAAGAGCAGACTACTGATTTTACCGTGGAGGCCAGACAGCATGGTGGTAAAGAGAATTGGCTTTACCGCCAGACATACTGAGGGAACCGCTGTGACCTTGACCAAGTTCCCTAACCTATCTAAGCCTCGGTTTCCTAATCCAAGAAACCAAGACAGGAGTCACGCCTTAAAGCTGTGGTGAGGATTGAATGAGTTAAAGAGCCGAGGTAGGCAGCGTGGTGCCTGGCCGTTTGGTCAGTGCTCCGCATACCCTGGCCTCTGTTAGGACTTCACCATGTCCTCCGACGCTAATGTTTCATCTTGGTGTACGACTGGCATTTTGAAAATGTGCATGCACACCTACTCCCGGGAGCAGGATTTGGAAGCATCACTTTGTACCTGGTGTCTTTTATTTTTAGGTGTGGTTCAACAACAAGGGCTGGCATGCCATCAGCTCTTTCCTGAACGTCATCAACAATGCCATTCTGCGGGCCAGCCTGCAGAAGGGAGAGAACCCCAGCCAGTATGGGATTACTGCCTTCAATCACCCCCTGAATCTCACCAAGCAGCAGCTCTCGGAAGTGGCTCTGTAAGCGTGGCTGAGTCTGCCTGGGTGGGGCGAGGAGAGGAGAGGAGAGGCTGTTGGTGGAGCCGGGGAGTAGGGGAGGGAAGCGTGCAGCTGGTTGAAGAGTGCCGGCTGAGGATACAGTTACATTATGGTAGGTCCGGGTGAATTCGGGTCCTGGGCAGAAAATGATCACTTCATGAACTGGCTGTCAGGGATTAAACTGCAGAAGATCCAGGATTCTGATGGATCAAAAACCATTACCTTGAGTGAATTTATATAAAGTGACATTGTCAATAAAATCCTCAAATAATTTAACTCACGGTTAACACAGTCGTTCATATAAAACCAGTTTTATTAGTTTTGAAACCACTGTTTCCTAAACTTGGTGAAGCATGCTTTTATCAGCTTGTCCTTTTAATTCCTGAATCAAGTGTGCGCGCATGTGTTTGTGTGTGTGTGTGTGTGTGTGTGTGTGTGAGTGAAGTTTGAAGCCAGTATATCACAGTTTAAAGTGCGTAACCTTTGGAATCCTAGAGATCTGTGACTCTGGTTTCTAAATTTCTAGATGTATGGTGTTAAATGAGGCAATTCATGTAAATTGCCAAGTCCAGCACTCAACACATTGTTGATATTCAGCACATGTTAGATTCTTTCCTGTGTCCAGAGCGTGGCACAGCTATTTCTGCTTAGCTCATATAGAATATCAGTATATACCAATAGGATCTTTATACCAAGTTTATATAAAATTAATACATATAAAAATAGTTTGTTACGTCCTGTTTAATGGGCTTATAACTGTTCTCCTTTAATAGAATCTGATAGAATTTTTGCTATTTGTTAGATTGATAAGCACACACTATTGTTTTCACTTTTATTTACAGCCAGAAATTAACTTACTTGAATAGTTTCACACTAATACTTCTGCTTTATTTCATTTTCAAGGTACACTAGTCCTATATGTGTGAACATTTACAACTTAATGCTCTTAAGGGTCAAGAACAGAAGGCCAAAGTGAAGGCCAAAGTGAATGCCAGACTTCCTTTAATAATTTCATTATGGCGGGCGCCGGGCTGGCTCATTTGGTTAAGCGTCTGCCTTCAGCTCAGGTCATGATCCCAGGGTCCTGGGATCAAGTCCCGTGTCAGGCTCTCTGTTCAGCGGGGAGTCTGCTTCTCCCTCTCCCTCTCCCTCTCCCTCTGCCGCTCCCCCTGCTCATGCTCTCTCTCTCTAAGTAAATAAATAATCTTTAAAAAAATAATTTCATTATGGCAATGGATTCTTTTTTGCCTCATTGGAATCAGTTTTGCATTTTAATTATCAGGGTTTTTTTAAATTGAAAATAATCATCTTTAACCCTGGATAAAATACATTTGGTCAATGGATTTTTCCCTCTGGGCTATGCCTCACATCTCAGATCTCTGTGTGTGTTTGCGTGCATGTGTGTGTGTGTGTGTTTGCACGCGTGCGTGTGTGCACACACTCGTGCATGCATGTATCTTGCTTGAGTTCTCAACTGCATCGGTGATCCCTCATATCCTCACTGCCTTTCTTTTTCAGGATGACCACGTCAGTGGATGTCCTTGTGTCCATCTGTGTCATCTTCGCGATGTCCTTCGTCCCGGCCAGCTTTGTTGTGTTCCTGATCCAAGAGCGGGTCAGCAAAGCGAAGCACCTGCAGTTCATCAGTGGAGTAAAGCCTGTCATCTACTGGCTTTCCAATTTCGTGTGGGATATGGTAAGAACCCCAGTCTGCTGCCGCTTTCTAAATCGTCAGGGCTGGGGACTGGATGAAAGAGCCTCTGGCTCCTGTGAAAGTGTTTTAGGTAGTCAAAGTGAATGAAAAAGGAAAGGCAGAGGCTGTTGTATACTCTCATGACACTAAATATGGTATCAAATACGGAGCTGATCTCACACCGCAGAGAAAATCTGTCTACACTGCAATGAATACCACTACCATCACTACCACTAATTTCTTAAGTGACCACTTTTCAAAGTAACTTCGAGCTGGAAGACTCTTAGAACTCCAGTGCCTCTACCCTGTCTGGTAGGTTTTCACCTCCAGAAGCAGGGTGTTCTTTGCCTTAGTAGGAAATCCATCTTTCATTTGGAAACTCTATACATTTGACCCAGAAGCCTATCCATCCATTTCAGATACGGTTTTGTGCCAGCACTAACAGATTGCTTCTGTTCAGACCAATATGGAGGACTTCAAAGAATTCTGAAGTTCTAATTTTTGTAAAGTGGAGTTGAAATATATCTTCCTTGACTTCCATTAGTTGTAAGCCACACAGAATGAATTTAATCCTCCTCCCACTGCACAGCCCCTCGGGTATTTGAAGACAGCTTTCATTTAACCCAAGTCTTCCCCACATAAGATGATATATGAGAATACACTTTGTAATCTCCAGAGCACTATACAAATGCGAGTGATGATGGTGAGGATGATGTCTGTGCTGATTAGACCAAGCCTCTCAGACTTGTCACCCTTGTGATATGTTGACTTTCTGTGGCCATGCTCCACATTGTTAATGTTCCTTTGGAAAAGCCAAGCCCAGAACTAACCCTTCAGGCTCTGGTCTGAAGGGTTCCAAGTCTAGAGAGAGTTGATCTTTATCCCATACCTTCATCACTCAGCCCACAGGTTTTGCATGCAGAAGAAGCACTGTCTTGTTAGCAACTTGGTAGCGAACTGAAATTTCCATTTCCCAGAATGATTGGTGAATGGGGTCTCTTTCCTTCTACACGAATACAGTTGACTTTTTGAAACTTTATAAACTTTATATTTATCCCTGTTACACTGCATCTTGTTTCCTATCCATTTGTTTTTGTTTTTATCTTGCCCCAGTAATTACTTCATTCCATAAACACGTACCGAGTGCTCATAATGTATCTGACTGTGGCAAGCGCAGGGGATTCAGAGATGAAAGATCAAGTCTGTGAACTGAGAGACCTCACTTAGCTACCTGTGTATTATCTGTCACTTCCTGGTTTCAAGACTCTGAAATTTGCTAAAAGCAGGTCTTCATCTAAATTGTTGATAAACCTATGGGGAAGGATGGGACTGAGGCAGAGCCCTGTGGTCCGAAGCTCAAATTCTTTTAACAGCCAACAAGCCCACTCTCACCTCCCTGCCTGTAGGCTTTGCTCTACCAGTTATGAATTCTCATAATTGTCCTGTAGTCAAGCCTTTATATCTGCATTGTAAGGCTTGATACACTGTCAGGACAGACTTTAAAATTATTCTCAGTGTGATGAAACAATTCTGACATTGATGTTATGAGGTAAGTGCTTATAAATAGATGTGAGCTTGAACTTGGGCAGACTATAATATAGCATTAATTATAAAACACACAATCATCTCCAGGAAGAATCATGGAAGCTTATTTGCTGCCTGTGAAATTACAATTACTCTGACCGGGAATCCATCGTTCAGTAAGTTTACTGAGCGTGACACCTTGGCTTAGCTGTTGGAAAGATGGAAAGGGCATGCAGTTTATAAAATCAGCCAGGGTAAAAAGCTTGTCAAAATGTATTGTCAGTATTTTGGTGAATACTTTATGTGGCTTCATTAATTCAAAGTTATTCTCTGTTGGGCGCCTGGGTGGCTCAGTCGTTAAGCGTCTGCCTTCGGCTCAGGTCATGATCCCAGGGTCCTGGGATCGAGTCCCACATCGGGCTCCCTGCTCTGCGGGAAGCCTGCTTCTCCCTCTCCCACTCCTCCTGCTTGTGTTCCTGCTCTCGCTATGTCTCTCTCTGTCAAAAAAGTAAATAAAATCTTAAAAAAAAAAAAAAAAGTTATTCTCTGTTTATCTGCCCTTTCTTGTCCTGTGATGGTGAAGACTTGGGGTGTGTTGTGTCTCTGACTTAGGGGTAAACTCCATTTCCTTGTTCCACTTCTAGTGCAACTATGTGGTCCCTGCCACGCTGGTCATTATCATCTTCATCTGCTTCCAGCAGAAGTCCTATGTGTCCTCTACCAACCTGCCTGTGCTGGCCCTTCTACTTCTGTTGTACGGGTAAGGCACCTCTTGGGGGGTGGAAGGCATATGGTGCCCAGAGTCTGAGGGAAGGCAGGGGACACCCAGTGGACATTTGTCTTTGTGCCTTACCAGGTGGTCGATCACACCTCTCATGTACCCAGCCTCCTTCGTGTTCAAGATCCCCAGCACAGCCTACGTGGTCCTCACCAGCGTGAACCTCTTCATCGGGATCAACGGCAGTGTGGCCACTTTTGTGCTGGAGCTTTTTACCAACAATGTGAGTCCTGCAGGAAGAGCACCTCCTGCAGGGATGAGCCTCTGCGAGCCAGAGGACCGCACCACATCATGATCCTATACCACTTGTCTGTGGTGCTGACACCGCAGACCTCTCTGTCCTTCAGATTCTCTCCTCTCTGGGTTTGCGTAGCACCTCTTTCTCCTCCTTTTCCTTATATTTCTCTGATTGATCAAACCCTTTGGTTTCCATTGACAGGTTCTTTTGTACTCCTTTCTGTTTCGGTGCTGCTCTTCCCAATATGCGGTGCTCTGCCATCTTTGCTTTCCACTTCAGATGTGTCTCTGTGTGATGCTGTTCATTCCCGAGGCTTTTACTGACTGCCCTCTTTGTGTCTTACGTTGTTATCTCCCAGATCTTTGCCTTTGACCCTGACTGTTCCCTTGAACTCTAGTCTCACGTTTTCACTTGCCTAGCGGGTGGCTCCATTTGGGTTATTTCCAGATACCCCGGACTTGACCCGTCCTCATCATCTTCTCCCTCAGGACCTAGTACTTGTCCTGTCATTCCTGTCACACTAGATGGCACTACCATCCACCCGGTCACCCCGGCTGACCATAGTATGGGCATCATATGTACTTTGCTTTTGCTTATTTCCCACATTCAACTGTTTACCTTGTCAGTTCTTCCAATTGCATGTCTTTTTAAGGGTCTCTGCCCATTCCTGTTGGCATTGTCTTTGTCCAGACACCTTAACTTAGCACGCAAGGCCTTCAGAGCTGTACGGCCCTTCCTGGCCGCATCCCGCCACACCCTTTCCCGAGGCTCTGTAACTTCATCTGAGTTGGTTGTTCCTTAAACCCTCCATTCTCCTGTAGGTCTGACTTCCTTTCTCTCACTAACCCCTCAGGACCGCGCTCAACTGTGAAGCCTTCCTTTCCTGCCCTATGGGAGGGGCTCTCTCCGTCCCCAGTGCTCCCAAAAGCCCTCACTTCACACCTCCTGTACAACACCTCTCCAATGATGCACTCATTTCCTCCAGAGTAGAGACTGTTTATTAACCTTTGCCCGCCCTGTGCCCTAGCACAAGGCATTCAGCCCACAGCAATGTAACTGTTGGATGTTTGGCCACTGGCTTGATGTACACAAGAAGAATTGTTAAAATGCCAACAAAATCCTGAAGCTGAAATACGGACCCAGACAGGAGCAATTTGCTTTTGAAATGCTAAGCCAGTATTTTATTATGGATTTGCTTCTGATTAAACATAACCGTGTTTCTAAACTTTGCTCATAGTTCTCCACACTCATAGCATTACTGCAAATCCTCTAAAGAGGAAATTTTATTATGTTATATGTCATCAACTGTGGCTACCACTCTTATTGGTGTCTGAATTCAAAGGTTCAGTTTGACCCCGGGGAATCACATTTTTCTTCTCTCCCATTATTGCAGACCTTGATATATTTTTAGCCTAAACCATAAATGACATTCAGTTTCTCTCTTACTATATTTTTCTTAGAAGCTGAATAACATCAATGATATCCTGAAGTCTGTATTCTTGATCTTCCCACATTTTTGCCTGGGACGGGGGCTCATTGACATGGTGAAAAACCAGGCAATGGCTGACGCCTTGGAAAGGTTTGGTGAGTGACAGCAGCGGCTCGAGGGTGCTTGCCTGGAGATGGCCGTTCTCGTGAGCCTCAGTTCTCCAGACTTTGGGTTGGAAAGAGGCTGGTGACGGGGCATAGGACTTCCCACCACTGAGAAAAGGTTCATGACAATGAATCTGGATGTGGCATGGGTCTTTGGATAGAACATTCGTCTGTGTCTCAGATAGCATTGAGAAAAAGGAGAGGGGAGGTTTAGAGGTAAGGACAAAAACAGTGGCTTTATCCTGAATCCAGGGCATAATGCCACTGGTTGCATTTGTTAGCCACTGGAAAACTCAAAGCACAATTTGAGAATTGGATACAGGCCAGAGAATCAGAAGGAAGGCTGCAAACTTTGGCTCTGACGATGAGGAAAATCATGGGCCTTTTACACAGTCTATAAAAAGGGAATTTACTGCAGCTCTTTCTGTCTTTAGAGTCTTTAAAAATATTTCTCCTGTAGCCACATTACTATTCTTTATCCACTGGCTCATATAGCTAGATGGGCCATGTTATTTAATAGACATAGGAGAGGAACTTTTTTTTTTTTTTTTTCCATCTAGCAGGTACAAAGGAGATACATAAGGAATGTAAGGAATATTCCCATAAAGCCGGGTGATTTAATTGGTTCACTAGGTTATATTATATGCTACTGAAAGAGGCATCTTTCTTTTTTTTTAAAGATTTTATTTATTTATTTGATAGAGACACAGCGAGAGAGGGAACACAAGCAGGGGGAGTGGGAGAGGGAGAAGCAGGCTTCCCGTCGAGCAGGGAGCCCGATGTGGGGCTCGATCCCAGGACCCTGGGATCATGACCTGAGCCGAAGGCAGACGCTTAACGACTGAGCCACCCAGGCGCCCCAAGAGGCATCTTTTTAAAGTGCTCTCTAATCTTCCTTTAGTGAAACTTAAAGTTTGCTAAAATACCCTAGAAGTTACCCTGGATTGCTTGCCTTTTTTAAAAAGGATTTTCGGCATGTCTCATTTAAAAAGGAAACATAAGATATGAAATTATAGGTCTAATACATGTTGATTCTGAAATTCTGACTGATAATGAGTCACAATATATTTTCCCAAAACCCTACCCTAAATCAGTCACTCCCTTAATTTTTCCTCCTTGTCATAGGCAATAACCATTGGTGTTTCTAGGAACAGAGGTAAATTTGAGCCTGAATTTGAGGAAGGGCCATGGTCTTTGGTGCCTCCATTCTAACTGGATCTCTGCATTGTGTCTACCAGGGGAGAACCGTTTTGTTTCGCCACTGTCCTGGGACTTAGTGGGACGGAACCTCTTCGCCATGGCCGTGGAAGGGGTGGTATTCTTCCTCATCACTGTTCTCATCCAGTACAGATTCTTCATCAGGCCCAGGTGAGCTTTTTCTGAGAACTCATGGAGCATCTGGTTGAGGGTCACAGAAGAACACGGGGAATCACTGGTCAGTGGTGGTTGCATTGCATTCAACTCAAGACGATCCAGCTAATTTTCCTAATGTGGGCATTCTCTAGCCCACAGCACTGCTGATCCTAAAAACTGTGGAGAGTAGATTTAAAGGACTTCCTTAAAAATTGGATCTTTGTCTTGAAAAATACCTTGAAATACTGATTTTTCTTAAAATGTTTCTCCCAAGACCTGTAGATGCAAAGCTTCCTCCTTTGAATGATGAGGATGAAGATGTGAAGCGGGAAAGACAGAGAATTCTTGATGGTGGAGGACAGAACGACATCTTGGAAATCAAGGAGCTGACTAAGGTGAGGCAGTGAGTACAGGCTGTAACAACTTGTCTTCAGTTTTTTTCAGCTTTATATGTTGGAAATGAGCATTTTTGCTGATTTGATTAATGAAAAGAATATGTGCATCTAGACCAAACTTCTATCAATTTAATTTTATTTAAGATACACTGAGGGGACTTCTTAATTAAAGAAATCCTACTGAGAATACTTCTGTAATGTGAAGTCTGGTTCTCAAGTATATTTGTTTCTCACACTTACATTTATGTGTTTGTTAAAACATACTAAAATTGTATATCTAGTCAAAGCCGAGGTAGGAAGAATAAATGGTTGATTTTTGAGTATCATGGTCTAAAAAGCTGGTATGTCTCTGCTGCTCAGCAGGACAGTTTGTTTCAGCCCACTCTAGTTCACTTTTTTATAATATGTACAATATTTGCAGTGTTTGGATTATACATTTTGGCCCTGTAGAATTTTTTTTTTAATGTAGGCTCCATGCCCAGCGCAGGGCTTGAATTCACAACCCTGAGATCAAGACCTGAGCTGAGATCAAGGGTTGGACGCTTATCCGACTGTGCCACCGCGTCCCAGGTGTCCCTAGAATTTAATTTTTAAAATGCCTACAATATCAAGTAAATGAAAAATTATGTAGATATAAATGACCAATGTCTCTTAAAAAGGTTGATAATAGATTAAAAATAAAAAATTCACTTTTATTTTAAGCTTTTGAATCATTCAGACACAGAGACAGATCATGGCTCTTGGCATATCAAATATGTGACTTAGTTTTATTGATGAGCCTTGCTTCGTGGTGTGTTTGGGTTATAGTTCCCTCTTCCCCAGTTGCTTGCGATAGTTGTGATTCACTATGGCTCTTGAATTTTTGCATTTTGTTGGTTGCAGATATATAGAAGAAAGAGGAAGCCTGCCGTTGACAGGATTTGCGTTGGCATTCCGCCTGGCGAGGTAAAGGCATTGTCTACCCTGTACTTGGCCCTGTTAATTCATATTACCTACCCAATCAAACAACAATGTCTGTAAGGCTTGAAAGTTTTTAAAGCTTTCTCTATTTATGTCTATATGGAGCAATCAGTCATTGAGAAGATGTCAAAAAGCAACAATTTTGGATAATCTCAGGCAGTTTAAGAAAAGAATGCACATCCAGAATGTGTCTTTGTGATCCATTCAAGATGATGAAATTCAAATAGATTTTTTTTAAGTAGGTTTTTTTCTTTTCTCGTTCATGTTTGTGTTCTTTTATGCCCTTTAGGCAAATTAGGTGGTGAAATGTGACTTGGTTGGCTTCCATTACTGTTTTTTACACATTAACTTTGGCTTCAGCCTGACAGCTCCAATAATATTTACAAATATGCTCAATATGTCTCATTATAAATGTTTAAATATCTATAAAGTTCTTAAAACCCCCCCAAATTTGACTCTTTATTGACATTTAAGAATGTTTTAGAGTCGTGTCATCTCAAAACTAAGCTGAGGTGACTATTTTATAAGGGTCATTTATATTCAGATTATTAGAAGTTTGCTTAAACAGCTGACCCAATCTCTTTCAGTGCTTTGGACTTCTGGGAGTTAATGGGGCTGGGAAATCATCAACTTTCAAGATGTTAACTGGAGATACCACTGTTACCAGAGGAGATGCTTTCCTGAACAAAAATAGGTGAGAAAAGACGTGGACTGTATTTTGCCACAAAGCCTTTTTTTTTAAATTTAAATAAATATATTTTTATTTTTCTGACTATAACGGTACTATGTAATTTATAAAAATGTTGAAATAGATAAAGTGTAAAGACAAGAATAAAAATCATCCATAATCCCACTACCTGAAGATAACTACTATTTACATTTTTTTCTCCCAGTCTCCCTCTATTTTTTTTTTAACAGCTTTATTCAGGTATAATTGTACATAGCATATAGTTTACTTGTCTTAAGAGTACAGTGATTTCTAGTGATTTCTAGTCGATTTACAAGGCTGTGCACTCATCACCACAATCCAGCTTTAGAACATTCCCACCACCCCCAAACTCTCTATTTTACACATATAAATGTATTGTAAAATTGAGATCATACTATATCTAGATTTTTGAAATTAGTTTATTGAGTCTAGTATGGACATTTCTTAATGGGTTGCATATTCTAAGATGTAGCCTTTGCGCTGCTGCCTAAACCCCCCCTCCCCCATGTACACTTATCTGCAGTTTATTTAATCAGTTCCTTATTGCTGGACATTTATTAATTTCTGTTTTTGACTATGTAAATATGTCCTTGCGTTCATCTTTTATTTCCTCAGGGAACATTCCTACAAGGTAAAAGGGTATGTACTTGCCAAATTGCCCTCCCTAAAGGGTATCAATTATCGAGGCCACAATAGGCCATTATCTGAGAATGCACAGGTCACTAAGCAATCTGATCTTTAGGCGCACCTCCACTTTAGAGACCTATTAGGCAATGTTACCCTTGGGTACTCTAAATATGTGGGGCTTCTCTGGGCTTTTTATATGGAGAGGTGGTGTAAGACAGTGGCTTTTGAACTTTTTTGACCATGACCCATAGTAGCAAATACATTTACCCCTCAACCTAGTAAATACACAAAATCACATAAATAGACATATCTTAAAAAAAAAAAAAAAATCTTATCGTGACCCACTAAATTTATTTTGTAACTCACTAGTGGGTGATGACTCACAATTTAGAAATAATAGATAGGGGGCTAATAGCCAATAAAATTGAAAAGAGTGAGGGACTTAGTGTACTCATGGGTCCCCTCTTTTGTCTCTTATCAGTTTTTCAGTAGCAGGGTAGAGAAGGTTTAAGAGAACAGAAATTCTGGAATAGCAGGCCTAAGACTGCATCTGCTTCCCCAGGCTTGTTCCTTCTACCAGGTTCCTGGGATACAAAGCAATGGGAGCAATGGGCTCAAACTAAGGTTTATCACAGCGACCTGTTGTAAGAGCTGGCTTGGGCAGTGTTGCTGGGAGGGCCAGGCACGGCGTCTGTGGGCCTCTCAATCATAACTCTGGAAAGGGCTGGACCTGGGAGTGTGAAACAGGCAGAAGGGAATGAATACTGCTAGAAGACCAAACAAAGGCCAAACGCTGTCCAGAGGTGGCCGATGTGCAGCCAGCAGACTGGATGGGACACTGAGCTTCTCCCACATCAAGGATTCTTAACCTGAGATGGGCCTCATTGGGCCCAAAAGCTGCTTCCACCAATATATTTAAAGCTGTGTATGTAGATATATTTTTTGGTCACCAGATTTTCGGAGAGCCTGTGATCAAAAACAAAAGCAAAATAAAACAAAGATCTCCAAAACAAAAAAAACCCTTAAAAACCAGGAGGGTGCCCGGGTTGGGTAAATAGTGGGACCAGGGGGTCTAGACCATGTTGTGGCCGAGTCAATGTATGGGCAGCAAACAGCAGAGGGAGGGAGGTCACACCCAGATTTGCTGGGCCTCCTCTGGGTCTGAATGGCCATGAGGGAGACTTTGGAGTAACAGAGTACTTGGTATGTATGACTGGATCACAGGGCCAAGTCTGGGATGGAGACTTAGTGTTAAAGCCCCAGGATTGTGTGAGTGGGATTGTTGGTAGAAGTAGTGCTGCAGTTGGGATGGACTTGGGAATCTTGAAATGGGACTGAGCCTGCAGATTGAGGTGTTGGGAGAGCCAGGTGCAAGCAGTAGGCAGGACAGAGGCGGGAACCCTGACTGCCAGAGGGGCTGGCCTCTGGGGGGTGGGGGGTGGGGGGCGTGGGGTAGAAAGATTATTCCTTCAAGCTACAGCAAGTGTGCTCACTGGTTATTTTTGTCATGTGCAAGCATGCTTTATAGGAACATGAGACAAGACTGTCTGATCAGAATCTCTCTAAATGCTTGAAACCTGACCAGTTTTTCCTTTGCAGTATCTTATCAGACATCCATGAAGTCCATCAGAACATGGGCTATTGCCCTCAGTTCGATGCCATCACAGAGCTGTTGACCGGAAGAGAGCATGTGGAGTTCTTTGCCCTCTTGAGAGGAGTCCCAGAGAAAGAAGTTGGCAAGGTACGGGGGGCACCAGAAGCCAGCCTGCCCCCTTCGGCAGGCTGACAGTATACCTTTCAAGTGACCACTGGCTTCAGGCTCTTTTTATGCATGGATGCAGCAATATGAAATGCTGGCTCTCTGCACCTACTTTGCAGGGTGGGAGTCCGTGGGGGTGGGGGCAGGGGTGAGTGGACAGACACGTGCTGGAGAGCAGAGAGGAAGTGCTGTGCCCACTCCCACGAGTCCTTTCCCCCTGCTTTTTGGCTCCTTGGCACTTGATATTATAGAATCTACTCAGTGAGAAGAATTTTCCTAGTTCTACTCTGTAAAGAATCATATACAAGTGTGAGAAAGCATGATTAACAAATCAGACAAAAGTCAAGGTCCTTTCTATTACTCTAGGTTGGTGAATGGGCAATTCGGAAACTGGGCCTTGTAAAGTATGGAGAAAAATATGCTGGCAACTACAGTGGAGGCAACAAGCGCAAGCTCTCAACGGCCATGGCTCTGATCGGCGGGCCCCCTGTCGTGTTTCTGGTGAGTATGACTGTGCATGGAGCACTCTTGTTTGGGCCTGAATGGAAAACATCACTTCCCTGAAGTCCTGTACGTCTAGGGATATTGCCGGACTGGCCATCCTTCCTCCGACCAGGAATGGCAGAGCAGCCTTAGAAAACCAGAGGGAAGGAAGTTCCTTTGTTCTTCTCCTTGATACACATTGGGGTGGCTTTGCCATGCCCTCCGATGCTCCAAAGGAGAGATGCTCCAGGGCCCTTGTTTCTCTGGTGTTGGGGCACCCCGGCACGTGGGGCTGAGTCTTGGATATGTGATTTGACCTTTCTCTGGAACATTCTTTCTGACGATCTATGTGTTCATCTCCTGAAGATGGAGATTGTGGACACAGCTTCAAGATCCCCAGGGTGGCACCTGGCTCATTGTCCTAACATACAAATAGATGGAAAACAGAAGATTAAACTGGACATAGCCCCTTGACCCGTTTTCTTCTGCCTGGAAGTGATTACAGGAAGAAGCCTTGGGTTAAGGCTTTAATGTTATCTGGACCATTTGGATCTGCAATTTGTTTCTCTAAGACTAGCAAGTACAATATAACAGGCCAAGCTGTAATGAGCTAGAATAAAAAAAGAAGAAAAGTAATTTTACCCAAACCTGATATGCACTTTAATAGAGATTTCAGACAAAAAGGATTTTTAGTGTGTACTTGTCAGTCATGAAAAGATGATTGAAACTAAATAGCTTTTTCCTTTCCCTTTCTATTCATTTGGAGAAATTTAATTTTACAAAAATTTGAGTTTCCCACTTGAATGACACATTGGTAAGAGTGAACTGGTTACAAACAAGTGTGCATTTTACTGCTGTGTGTGAGGTCTGGTTCTTTGGTCTATCAAGAAATAACTAGACTGGTAAGTTGAAATTTAGGCTCTTTTATTTTATTTTATTTTATTTTATTTTTTTTAAAGATTTTATTTATTTATTTGACAGAGAGAGAGAGAGAACAAGTACGCAGAGAGGCAGACAGAGGGAGAGGGAGAAGGAGGCTCCCCGCTGAGCAGGGAGCCCGATGCGGGGCTCGATCCCAGGACCCTGGGATCATGACCTGAGCCGAAGGCAGACGCTTAACCGACTGAGCCACCCAGGCGCCCCAAATTTAGGCTATTTTAAAGATGCTTCTGCATTTAAAAACAAATCTGTCTTTGTGTTTTAACAAATAATAGGACTTATTTTATTCTAATTACAGGATGAACCTACCACAGGCATGGACCCCAAAGCCCGGCGATTCTTGTGGAATTGTGCCCTAAGTATTGTCAAGGAAGGCAGATCAGTAGTGCTTACATCTCATAGGTCAGTAGTGAAGACTTGGCGTGGCATCTGTGTTGTGTTTATTTAAGGTTTTCCAAGTAGCAATGTGATCATTGTATAAAAAATAGAAAGTATAGAAAGGCAAAGAGAAAATGTGATAATCACCTGAAATTCTATCACTAGGACACAACCATTGCTGTCATTGGGCTATATATCTTTGCAGTTTTCCTGTGCAAATCTGTACACACACACACACACACACACCCGGCATGTGTGTGTGTGTGTGTATTTTTACAAGCAAAATGCAAGCTTTGTACATACACTGTTCTTTTTCACTTAATATCTTGTGAACATTATTTCAAGTCAGTACGTTTAGATGTGTCATCATTTCTTATAGCCCTGAGTAGGCAGTATTCCAATAGGAAATACCCTAATTTATTTAACTGTTCCTCTTTTTGTAGATATTTGGACTGTTTCCACCTTTTTTTTCTTTTTTTATAAGTGTAAACAGCATGGCTGTAAACAGCGTTATCCCCACATCTTGGTGTATTTGTCATAGGAGGCAGTTGTGCCCTAGGAAGCTGGGAATCTATTTCTTCGAAATTCCAGATGTCCTATGATGTTTGGATGGTTAGAGGAGCATCTTTCTAAAACAAAAATCTCTGTTTTCCCACAGTATGGAAGAATGTGAAGCTCTTTGCACTAGGATGGCAATTATGGTCAATGGGAGGTTCAGGTGTCTCGGCAGCGTCCAACATCTGAAAAATAGGTAACAAGGATAATTTCTTGGGGATAACACCTGCTGAGAACACTTGTGCTTATTCTTTCTGTGAGCATATAAATGGTGGCTCTAAAATAAGGGGAAATAAACTGAACAAAATGGTATAGTGGAAAGAATGGGGGCTTTGAAGTCAAACAGACTTGACTGATTTGAATTCTCTTTACCTTTTCCTGGTGTGTGCCCTTGGACAAATCACTTAACCTTTCTGAGTCTGTATCCTAGGAATATCTGCTTTCTGGCTCTGCTAAACAAATGCGGTGGGGAGTTTTACACATGTCAGTATGGTTAGGCTTTGGAGTCCAACACAAACGGGTCTACATCCTGGCCCTACCACTTAGGAGCTCTGTACCATGGGCAAGTGACTAATTCCCTGGGCTTCAGTTTCTCTGTAACATGTCAGACTTCACGTGTCCAGGGGAGGATCTAATGGAATCGTGTGTCCGAGGCACTTGGCATGGCACGTCATGTAGAATAGATACTCAGTAAATGGTAACCAGTTCCTTCTCTCAGATACTTATTTTGAGAAGTTTCCTGAGGATCTTCCATTGGTTTTTTTTTCCTGCGTTCAGGTTTGGAGATGGTTACACAATCGTGGTACGGATAGCAGGGTCCAACCCTGACCTGAAGCCTGTCCAGGAGTTCTTCGGACTTGCCTTCCCGGGAAGTGTCCTCAAAGAGAAGCACCGGAACATGCTACAGTACCAGCTTCCATCTTCACTATCTTCTCTGGCCAGGATATTCAGCATCCTTTCCCAGAGCAAAAAGAGACTCCACATAGAAGACTACTCTGTTTCTCAGACAACGCTTGACCAAGTAAGCTTTGAATGTCCAAAACAGATTGATTCTTCAGGGTGAAGATTCCTGATTCCTCTCCCCCACTCCCATTATGGGTCCTAGAGCAGATTTGGCTGTCTGAGCTTGAATTTCTGATTTCCAACAAGCTATGCTTTTTACTAAACCGCTCTGAATGTGTAAAGGGAGATGATTCTATCTACTTTAGAGGGTTATTGTGAGAATAGGTTGTAATAATAATCACAGTAACTATCATTTTCTGAGTACCTACCATGTGCCAGACATTTTGCCAGGTGTCTTATCCCATTTTAAATTAGATAACATCAAGTACCAACCGGATTCTGGCACTTAGTAGCTATTCAGTAAATGTTAGTTTATGTTTCTCTTCCCTTTTAATCAGGCCTGTATGAATCAAAATAGACGACCGAACAGTTGGTGATTTGAGGGGCAATAGGGAAGCTCAGTTTTTAAATGGTTAAGGCTTTTTCCAGGTATCCCCGTCCCCCTCACACACAGTTTTCTACTTAATCTACTTATTCGATCTTGTGTTCTGCTACCTGAATTAATCTCCACATGGTGAAATGCAATCAGAATAAAGGAGGAGCAAGTAGAGAGGTATTTACAAAAGTCCACCTTTCTTTTGACAGGTATTTGTAAACTTCGCCAAGGACCAAAGTGATGATGACCACTTAAAGGACTTGTCATTACACAAAAACCAGACAGTAGTCGATGTTGCAGTTCTCACATCTTTTCTCCAGGATGAGAAAGTGAAAGAAAGTTACGTATGAAGAATACTGTTCGTACAGGCTGACTAAAAGAAAGGAGGAACTAGCCCTTCCTCCGCACCATGTGAAGTGTTCCAAAAGAAGAGCTGGACGTTTTTTGTGGGAAGAAGTAAACTGGATACTGTACTGATACTATTCAATGCAATGCAATTCAATGCAATGAAAACAGAATTCCATTACAGGGGCAGTGCCTTTGTAGTCTATGTCTCGTATGGCTCTCAAGTGAAAAAGACTTGAATTTAGTTTATTACCTTATACCTACGTGAAACTCTAGTATGGAACCCAGCGGACATATGGGTTTGAAATCACGCTTTTTTTGTTGTTGTTCCTTTGTATTCTCACTGGGGTTGCAACAATAATTAATCAAGTAATCATGGCCAGTGATTATTTATCAAAATCAGAAGGCGTGTTACATCTTCATTCACGAAGCCGTGCCATGCCAGGAGACTGGTTTCCCGGCGACACATCCATTGCTGGCGATGAGTGTGCCAGAATGACTAGTGCCAAGTTGCTCAGAAAGCCTGAAGGACCGTGGTGTGTCGTGCACACTTTTGCAACAGCTGTTATGCTTCAGAGTCCATCAGCATCGGTATCAGGTGACAGAATGGTGCCCTGGACGGGGAAAGCCCTCCATTGTTTCCCTCTCTGATGAGCTGCTCTGGTGTGGCCGTAACATTGCAAGTGTGGGTGGCTCAAGACAGGTGAGACTTGGTTCCATGGGTCTCCAGGGCCACTTTTCTGGGACTCTTTAAATATACTTAGATCCTGGTAAGCAGCAAAGAGCCGCCAAACTGTTGCGGCTGCAAGCTGCTGAGGCCAGGTCACGGGACTAAAGAGCTGGCTTGTTCAAACCTCGGGAGGCCTGTGTCCATTTGTCCTGGTTGTCTGCTAACACGGTACATTGCATCTCAAGATCTTCCTGTTTGACCCAAGTGTAGTGTTATTTCTGGCTTTTTAAATTAATCCAGAATATGAAAGGATAGAGTTGTATTTTGACAAAAATCTTTGTACTTTTAATGTTGTTTGGAATCTTAAGTTCTGTCAGTGACTTGTGAATCCCCTGGGATGGCCTCTTTGTAGAACCCCGTGGCATAGAGGAGTGGCCCCACTAGCTTTATTTCTCATGGAAGCTTGCAGAGGGAACCTCTGATTAGTGCCTGGTGACCAGAAAACAATGTGGTGGTCAAGATCTCATGACAGCATTATATTTGAGTTTCTTTAAGATCATTCAAAATACTCTTAATCTCCGCTTGTTAATCAAGTATTTTTTGAGTGTATGTTGTAGCTGAATTGACCGTGTATGGATGGATTGGGTCTGGAGGAATTAAGTCTCAGTAGATATCCTGTGCCATGTTACTCAGCTAACAGGTTTACAAATATAGGTTTTGTTGTTGTGGTTGTGGGATCCCAGTGAATACTGGGCAGCCTTTTTTTTTTTTTTAAATAGCAACAGTGCAAAAGCCAAAAAAGTCTGTCATAAGGGTCACAAGACTAAACAATGAATACTTTCACAAAAAAGATCAATAACTTTAAAACTTGTTGAGTAACACAACTTGTGCTTATGGGTATATTTGGTACTGTCAGAAAATTGGCTTTGAAGATCTTAGATACCCCATTCTGACAGTCTCAAATTTTTCATCTCTTCAGTCCTGAATTTCTCATGAAAAAAATAAAAACAGCAAATGCCCCCACATGAAATACATTTGACTTTTCTGATCCAGTCTTATTTTTTTAGTCAATAAACACTTTAAAAAATATTATTTCACTAATGCTTAATGTGATCTGTCTTGAGACAACAAAAATATGAGGGAAGTACTATTGGGTGAAATTCAAGCCATCTTTCAATATCATTACTAATTTCTTTTTCTAAAATTTAAATACTAACTCTAAAGGTGTTAAGATTTCACATCTATTTGAAATCTGTTTTTTAAAATTTACAGAAAGTTATCACATAACTTGTTTGGCAAAAGAAAATGACTTAGAAATTAATGCCAATATTTTCTAAAATGATAAACAAGTAATGAAGGCCCATTTCCAGTAACTATTGGCATGATGAGGTCATTACATTTTGTGCAGTCTTTAATGATATAAAATTCATAATTTAGTTTCTCCTTATTTAATATTTTTCAAAATCAAACTTTTGTTAGTTTTCCCATTTCACTAGAATCATGTTCTAATTCTCTATTTTATTAAATCAGTGAGCAGCTCCTGGCTCTAATTACTCTGACTTCAAGGCCATATTTTAAAAAATTCAAAAGAGACTGTGAACTGTTTTGGGAAAAAAAAAAAAAAAAATTCAATATAGATTTCCAAGGATCTCTTCTGAAGCTAGAAACAATCTATAGCTACACCCTGACTTCATTGTTACCTTTTAAACTACCCAAATAGTAATCTTCTACATTTTCCTGTGTAAACCTAATTATAGTAGAATTTTTTACCAACTCTACTCAAGTAAAATTTCTATATATTCCCTGTGGAAATATAAGTATGTGAGTTTCAAAAATTCTCAAAGTGTCCAAAGGTTGCCGCTTTTGCTTCTTTTGGACACCTTGGAAACTTTATTATCAACTGTGAATATGAAAAATACAAAAGAAAACAATCACAAAGCCCTTTATACATACATAAACATCCAGCACAGCTCATTGTTAAAAAACAGCCAAACCTCAGACTACTGTATTTCAATCTCTGTACTGAAAGCGTGTGCATTGTGGTGATTAAATGTTGCACGTCTTTCATTCACTGTAATCATTGACGAAAGGGATTTGTCTGTTTTCTTCTCGTGGTTGTATATATCAGGTAAATTTTTTTCCAAAGAGCCATGTGTCATATATAATATTGAACCACTTTGATACTGAGATACTAATTTGTACCCTTGTTACTATTTACTAGTAAGAGTACTCTAGTAATATAGCTCTAATTCTCTTCAAAATTGTTGCATCCCTTTTATAGAATGTTTCTATTTCCACAAGGATTAAGTATTCTCTCTTCTTATACCCTAGGATGAAGCTATGTTTTTGTGCTTTTTCTTTATCATTGGCTCTTCATTCCAAGCACTTTATGCTGTCTCTAATGGGATCTATTTTTGCACTGGAATATCTGAGAATTGCAAAACTAGACAAAAGTTTCACAACAGATTTCTAAGTTAAATCATTTTCATTAAAAGGAAAAAAAGAAAAAAAATTTTGTATGTCAATAACTTTATATGAAGTATTAAAAAAAAGGCATATTTCTATGTTGTAATGAGTCACGAAATAAAGCTGTGACCGTTCTGCTGGTCTATGCAAATTTATTTCCGTGCATTCGTAGCACCACCTACTGTTAAAGCTTGTAAAGACATTAGGAAAGTAAGAAATGTCCACTTGTAGTGGGAAGCTCTTTGATTCAAGGGTAGAAATTTTAGAAAAGGCTAAGTGTCCTGTTACGAAAGAGAACTGAGGGGAGTACTTGGAGATAAAGGGTGTTTACACTTTCATAATTCAGGTAAGATAGTAAATAGTAAGTTTAAGAGGTTTTTAGGTAAAATGTATTCAGCTTACTGATTTTTGAAGCTAGAGCTGGAAATACTCTGTAGCTCAGTTTGTTTGATAAAAACCTCACTGCTTTATTTGGTATTGAAGCTACAAAGGCCGCCTTCAGAGGTCTTTTGTTTGTTAAGCTGAAAATACAAGGACAGCGTGTGCCAAGCATACTGGCAAGGTCTGCAGGGTTTGGTGGCCTGGGTGAGCACGCAGAAAAAGTGGAAAAAGTAGAGGAACATCGGAGGTGCCTTCCCTTTCTCCTGTAGGAAGTGCTGTGCAGTCGAAAGCCAGGGTTATGTGGGGCTGTGACGAGACATGTGGATGTAATTTTCATAGCTCACTAGCAAAGTCTCAGGAGAGATGTCTGCTTATCTCGGTACCTGAAGAACCTCCGTCAGACTCCCCCTCGTAGGCAGCATGGCGGAGTTGTGGGGCCGCCTCTAACGGCCCTGAGGACAGGTGCCGAGAGGTCCTTTGCTAAGGCGCGCATCCCACTGCGTGCAGAGGAAGGATCTCGGTTTGTGAGTGAGCCTTCTGGAGCACTTGGAATCAGCATCGCAGCTGTCTTTCCCTCTTAAAGTTCACATTACAGCGACGTCAATGAAATGATAGAAAGCTGTGTTTCTTTGTGAAAAATGACAATCGAGAGAAGAAAGCTACTGAAAGATGAAAAGGCAAGTAATTTAGATAACCATGTAAGTCACCCATGAGTCTGGAGGAAAACCTTCTATCTAGAGAAGAGCCTATATACACATTTGTAGGTTCAAAAGAACCTTGGAACCTTTGAAATGGTAATGCATATATTAAATATGAAAAGGTAGAAAATTAGCTACCTTTTTCAAGTATTTTACTGTGTTGTCAGGCACTTCACTTACTCCCTAATTAGCTATCTGCCCTATGAGGTAAGCAGGACCATTTGATGTGCAAGTAAACTGTGGCTCAGTGGATAAAGAACTTGTTTAAAGTTAAGCTGCTACCAGACTGGCAGAGGGTTCTTTTCTGGTGAAGGTGAGTATAAGTTACAATTGCTCTCATAAAATCCGCCTGGCATCATGATACAATAATTTAACCAGTATTTATTGAACTCTGTTGTGTGCCATATACTTTTCTAGGTTCTGGGGTGCAGTGTTGAAGACTGAATTCCTGCTCTAATGAACTTAAATTTCAGTAGAGAAATCATACTCGCATTCACAATGGATGTGTAGACAAACATATATAATAAATTCAGACTACAGTAAGTGCTAAGAAGAAAATGAACCATGGTTATGAGTTAATGATGGAGATGAGTCAGAGATGGCCGCCTGAAGAGTGACATTTGAGTTCAGATCTGATCAAATAAGTAGGAGCCAACATTTGAAGGTGGGCAGAGAGAATGTTCCTGAAAGAAAGAACACCTGGTGCAGAAGCCCCAAGTGGGAAAAAGGTTGGTAGGTTGGGGAAGGAGAGAGAGAATTCCAGTCTCTGGAGTGGTGGAAGGGGCAGGAACCAGAACCTGTAGGGCCTCCCAGGCCATGTTAAGGTATCTGGATTTCATTGTTAGTGCAATGAGGAACCACTGGAGAGTTTTAAACAAGGTAGTGGTTTGATGTAATCACTGTTTCAGAAAGAATGCTGGCTGTATGGGGAAAAGGGACAGAAGGGAGGCTAAGATGTTGGTGGGTTGGGCAAGGGTGTAGCAACAGACATAGGAATAGTAATGTTCAGGATCTATTTTAGAGACGGAGCCAACAGGAATTACCGACAAGCTCCATGTAGGGGTTGAGGGCAAGAGCTATCAAGGTGACTTCTAGTTTGTGACTCAAACTAGGTAAATGGTTGTGTTAAAATGGCCATTCATACTTCAGTCTGGTGCTCAGGAACAATGATGGGAAAGAAGATAAAAATGTGTAAGTCATCAGTACGTATATGGTTTTTAAGCCTTGCGACTAAATGGGCTGACCTAGAGAGAATGAAGATAGAGAACATTCCTGAGCCCTGAGATCCTACCCACATGTGGAAGAGAAGCCAGCAAAAGGAAGAGAGGGACTGGCCAGTGAGGAGGAAAACCTGAGTCTGACACCCTATACTGAAGCTCAGAATCAAGTGTTCAGGAAGGCAAACACTGCTCTCAGTGTGTCCCAACACTGCTGAGAAGCAAGGTAAAGGCAGAGAAAACGACTGAATTTGGTAAGATAGAGGTCCTTGGTGACCTTGAAAAGAGTCCTTTCAGTAGATTGACAAGGATCAGGTTGAGGGAAGGGTAAAAGGTAAAGATGGGGAATATACGTGTAACTCTACTGAGAGTTCTGCTTTACTGTGAAGCAGAAAACATGACAATAGCTGGATCACAAAGCTTTTATTTGGATTCTTGTCTGTTAATAGTATACGCTGCACCTGAACACCCATCTCATCTTTCAATTTTTTGGTTTTTTTTTTTAATCCTTTAAGACATTTCTTCTATCCGGAGTCTTATGCTGTACTTTGTTTTCCAAGTTTCCCTTAAGACAGCTAATTCATGATTTACTATTTTATACTCACAATATGTTTTAGAAACACAAAATAATATGGCTCGAAATATAGACTATCAAGAGAGCTTGTAATTACTAAACCTAGTTTTAGAAGGCAGGTGCACTCAACTAAAATGGAAATTAAAGGTGTTTGAAGAAAAACCTTAGAATATGTGGTGGTACTGAAAACTTTCTGGGATGATTATGTTATCTTCTTAATGTAACTTAACATTTACAATAAAGTTGTTAAGTTGTTACCGTGTCACTACCCTACAATGACCCAGTAAAAGCTCCAGAAAAGAGCGCATAAATACAAAACACAAATAAAAAAACCTGCAGAATGGGTATGTAGGCTTTTATTCAGGCAACCATTCTCATAACCATAAAGATCTCTTCAAAACAAATAGCTGTCCCAAGTATCTGTTAGTGATCCAAAATGAACAAAAATTAACTATAAATGAAGACATTTCAGCACATAAAACAAGTCTGAAGTTTTTAACAGAGACCTAGTTACATTATTTTCGAAGTTCGAGGGACTCATAATTAATGTGAAAACCATAATTAATACGGATGACACAGGTGACACTGGACTTTGCCAAGATAAAGAAATATATTTGATCTTAGATTAGAATCCCATTTGATCACAAAATAAACTTTACTGAGCACAAATATTTTAAATCTCAGAAAAAAACACATGAAAAGATGGACATTATACATAAATGATTTTAAAATACCGGGTTCAAAATGTAAAATCATCATTTGAATATAAGAAAACATTATAAAAGCAGAGGGTTGTCAAAAGGGAGTACAAGAGATATTCTGAAACCAATGAAAAATCAAGATCAAGTAGTAGCAACTATTTTTTTTTTTTTAAAGATTTTATTTTATTTATTTGACAGAGAGAGAGAGACAGCTAGAGAGGGAACACAAGCAGGGGGAGTGGGAGAGGGAGAAGCAGGCTCCCAGCCGAGCAGAGAGCCCGATGCGGGGCTCGATCCCAGGACCCTGGGATCATGACCTGAGCTGAAGGCAGACGCTTAACGACTGAGCCACCCAGGTGCCCCAGTAGCAACTATTTCTAATGTGTAACAGACACTGAAAATGCCAAGGGGAATATGAACAGAACTATTTCCTAAGGTGGAGAGGAACAGAGGAAGGAAGGATAGAGGTGGCTTCAGAAGTGGAGACACAGAAAATTAACTTACCACCTTCTTCAAATGCAAGTGAGAATCTCTTAGGAGAATTTAAGCACCATTAGCAGACACATCTTATAGCAGTTAATGCAATGCTTCGTATTTCAATGGAAAACTATTTTAGAGGTGAAAATGATGTAGGGATCAGAAGCGTATTCTGCTGAGACACGAGGTAATTGACACTCTCCCGAACTGGAAAAACACATTTCATAAGAAGGCATATAAAGTTACTGACTGAATCGAATTTGTGGTTTGAATACTTCATGCCTAGTGAAATAGCTTACCAGCTGCCACAACTCTGGGATCCTCATGAGACTGATGTCTCCCAGCCGCACGACTGTCTGCATTCTCATTCCACCAAAGAACATGAACTGCAGAAATAAACCAAAAACAGCGTCTAAAGACTATGGCGTTACTACAAGTAAGAAATACAGAAAAATTAATCAGAAACATTAAGTCTTGTTCTTTAGATCAAAATAGTGGATATCAAAAAGGTAAAATTAAGTATGTTAGTAATAAGATTTCAGAGGGGGTCAGAGATTCGGGAGAGAAATTAATTAAACTGGTTTTATAGATGAAGAAAAGGAAGGCTGGAAAGAAAAAGTACCACCACTAAAGACACAATCAAGGCTAGACCCAAATTTTATGACTTTCTACTAATTTTACTTTATTTTTAAAAAATTATAAAGAAGATGTTTATTACTGAAAATTTGGAAGATACGAAGAAGAAAATTAAAAGTAGCATAATTTTAACAACCCAGAGAGAACCTCTACTGATATTTAGTGTATTTCTTTTAAAAAATGAGTAAAATCAGATTAAGGTCTTAGTGTATATTATGCTTAGTAGTATTTTTAAAAATCAACTAATGCTTATTTTCCATGGCAGTAACCTTAATTTTTAATGACTATGTGAATTCCTCCTATGTTGCTATGTGACAACTTTTTTATCCCAACCCTTTATAGTTGATTATTTATATCATTCAAAATATTTCAGGATTCTATAAAATACTGAAATTTTTTTATAATTAAATGTAATATATGTTAGCCGTATAGATTTTGGAAAATGCAGATAA